CACACTGAAGATGTTATTTGTTGAAATTCCAGTTGAATGAATACAGCGTTGTTGGAGATGCCATTTCTTAAAAATGGGCATTTTCCACCGTGTCCAGAGACACCCTCAATTTTCATCAGCGTATGACAAACTATTGCTCGTTTGGTAACTTGAAAGCCATGTTTTTGACCTCGTTCATTTCACACATTCCCTTATTCACATTGAGTTTAGAGATGCCACCTAACAGTGGTAAGATGCAAAGCGACACATTTGCTTTGTCCCAATGTCGCTGCGAAACGCTGAGAAGTTACCCCCCTAATCTTTTCATTGCTAGTGACCCCCGTAACCTTTCGCTGACTTTTGACCACTGCATTCATCTCCCAGCTATCCAAAAGTGGTCACCACAACGCTAATCAATTCAGCACCCTCACCCGCCCCCCCTGGGTTTGAAGGCTCCTCGGCACCGCTGGCCCCACAACACACAAAGAGAGCCAAACATATTCGCACAACGAGCTTGATGAATGTTTGCATGAAAGTGGTACTAAAAACATGACAGAAATAACACAAGGGCAAACAAAGATTGCTTTTTACCCTTTATTTGTGAAGGATGTGTTTGTTTTCAATGCAGCCGGATGAGAAAACGTGAAATAGTTTCACATCCAAATCTTTACAACGCAGCGACATCAAGAGCTCAACGGATTGTGCTTTCGTTGTTTAAGTCCAATGTACCTCTCTCAGTTGAGCCCAGACAGAAATAAGCAGCAGTGGAAAACATACATCATAATTGAATTCCTATAATCCCATGAAATAATTTCGTTTTATTGGGCAGGTAACGTTGGGACTGAATTCAAATGGCATACCGATATTTATGCAGATTATTACAACCCCACTTTGTGCTCTTACTGAGGTTTCGTTGTAAACATGTCATCTTACACCTTTTGTCAATTATTTTGTTTGGTTCCAAGGTGAAGTTGGTGCAATGTCAACAGTCACCATGCACCGCTGTCGTGTGTGCCTACACTTTTAAAGAGGCTGAAAAAAAGTCCAATACACAAATACGTGAGGCAGCGACATCACATTCCAGCTGGTCCTCTGTGGCCACAGCAAGGTCGCAGATGACTACAATTTTTACATTCATAAATACATGACGTACTGTTTACAATTATTCGAAATGCAGTAAAACAAACAAACAAACAATTTACAAATTTATGATAAGAAATGAAATAGCACAATTATCATGGTAAAAACCTGTACATCAGCACCAAGCCATTTCCCATGTATTTCATGTAAACTATATTTTCACTATATAGGCCAAAATGCCAGAGCAAAATGTCCATTGGTGGATGAAACACGAGCAGCAGATTAGAACAAAGACATTACAAAACCAAAACAGATCAATGCTGTTTTTCGATGGCGGCTTTGCTTAACTCTGTGCAAATAGTTTATTGACCCCTTCTTTTCCTGATTATAAAATTTAAATAAGTCATACTTAAAATGCAACAAACAATCTCAGATTTCAAAGAAAGTGAACCCTCGGTAAGGGTATAAGACACTGTAAATTTGACGAGTCTCCCACACATGTCAATACCCAACAAGTACTGTACATAGAGCTGACACAAAATGTCAAAGTTCACATCCAACTTTAAATATTATAGACAAATAAACTTGTCAATAAAGTGAGCTGAAGATTGCCCCCCTTTTTGTAGTGTTGGATGTGGAGTGATGACCCTCAACTCATCTGTTGGTCCATTGTCATGTTGAACTCGATCAATGAGCTTCTTTAGAAAAAGTGCGGACAAAACATCCTCCAAAGATGGCACTAAGTACATTGGGAAAGAAAAAAAAACCCAAACCCATCAAAACAGCTCGAAGCAATTTCAAGGTTGTGCGAAATTCTGATCAGGTTTACTTGTCGGTAGGTTGTTTGCACCTCCTGTGGCCTTAAGAGGCCTCTTGGAGCAACAAGGCTAAAATACACGGGCTTCAGTGCACGCTTTCATTATGATATCTTACAGTTCCCTTTGGATGAGGATGAAGAGGTTTTCGGTGGACTTTGTGGGGGCCTGAAGGACTTGGAGCGTTTGATACTGTTGGCCTTGCTTCCACAACTCGTGACGCCAAAGGCGGCACTGTTGGCTACCGAGTAGGAGCGCCCGTGCATCATGACGGCATTCATGCCGTTGGCCATGGAGAATGATTTGAGATGGGATTTGATGGCCACGGGGAGAGGCAGCTTGTCGATGAGGTGCACGGGCGTACAGGAGACGATGGAACGGCAGCACAGATCTTGGAGGCTGAAAACTGCAATCAAGCAAGGGGAATTTTGATGATACAAGTGCACGGGATGTGCTCTTGTTTAAAATATCATGAATTCATGTGAATAATCTGCACAAGAAGAACATTTTACACATTGTATGGAGGCTCACCAGTACCTAGGAGGAGGTGTTTTTTTATTAAGGTGTACTTTCATTCCAACATGATATTTAATGTCTAAGGCTAAAAATATATAGAAACATATATACTGTATATACACTGACCATATTTTCCGTACGATAAGGCGCTTCGTAGTATGAGGCGCACCTTTAATGAATAGGTCTTATGAATCTTAACATAATACGAAACTACAATATGTCAATTGAGACGATTATACATCAGGAAATACGGTTCCCCTCAAAAAGATTGCGATCAAATCTTGTGGAAAACCTCGAGTCAAGCCACCAACCTTAGAACTGCGAGGCAGATCACTTACACATAAATTAACAGCAGAAGCAACAGGCTCACCTCTGTTGGGCCTCCAGAATTTCTCCATCCCATGCCTCATGAGCACGATGCGTGAGAGTTCTGTGAAAGACTCGATGACATTGAAGTTGCACAGCGGGCTGACCTCAAAGAACGTCATGCTGTTTTTCTCAGCATAAGCCCTTGCTTGCTCTGTTGGAACCTGCCGCTTGAAAGCTAAGTGAAGTCGGTTACCAACCAAGATCCTGGGCACACCTGGGGCATGCTGAAAGATGAAAACTAACCATGTAAAAGTGGCGACAAACATTACTTTCACAAAGCTTGGGATATTTGGCTTTCAGGTGAAATGTCAAGATGAACCCGAAAATGCACTCCCAGGTAGGGATGTCGGCGAAGGAATTTAAAGTCCAAATATTTCATTCATCATAGGAGGTCTATCAGTCATACTTTATCTGGTCCCTCATCTAGGATCTTTTGACCAGCATTTTTGCAAAAAGTACCGAATCATTGAACGTGCTTTTAAGTTCACCTGTAAATGTTATAGTGCAATTTAGGTTCATCCTCAAACTTCACCCGAAAGCACATTATCCCTAACTTTTTGAAATAACTTTTGTGTAGTGTATTTCTTATACTGAAATGCTGACCTCATCAATTTCTCGGATCCAGCGGTCAATGCCATCAAATGACCAGCCATTGGTGATGTCATAAACAAGGAGGATGCCCTGGGGAATGAAAATCTTCATGAGCACAGGTACACATGGTCAAAATTGCTCGCACTCCTCTATTAATGAAAAGTGAATCCTCTGTTTATGAAAAACAAACCCACCATGATCACTAAAATAACAACGGGACCGTTAACTTATTTTATTGCACAACCTTTGGAATATAGTAACTCTAAAAGACTTATTCTGGCCATTCATTTGTGGAGCGCTCCAACCTTCTCAGGTGTGAAGGATGCTTTCTCCAGACAGTATGGTTCAACTTCTCTCACAAATCCAAAAGTATCTAAATCAGGACTCCTTAGAATAGTCTGGTGTTTTGTTCATCGCACACTTCAGCCAAGTTGTTGGCGATAATGCACAACTGATATTTGTAATGTTTTTACATTAACAGGTTACAAACACTTTTGTCCATGTGCGTAATATTGGATTGTGATTCATGCCACATGATGAATAGTCCTCACCTGTGCTCCTCTTGAGTATGACCTAAAGATGGTGCAGAATCTGCCCTGACCAGATGTATCCCTGAAAGAGAACCACACATTAGCATGAGATTGTTCTTTTTTTTTTCCGACACATGGATGGTTGGATATTCTGTAGCCATCCCGCCGACAACTCGTACTTACCATAACTCTAATTTTACTCTTCTTCCATCCAGTAGTATTGTTGTTGTCTTGTAATCTATTCCTAAAATGTGACATAATTTCAATCTCTTTATGCTATTGATGTTTTACGCATGATAAAATGAAAATGCCTAACAGTAACTCACCACTAGTGTAAGCATAGGGAGACTCTACCGAGCCGTCCTGTAAACTTTCCAGGATTTCTCCCTTCCCGACGTCACTGTCTCCCACCAAGAGGAATTTAAGGAGATAGTCGTAACTCTTGACAGGACTACTCTGACTGCCCATCATCCCACGCATTGAAGCCGGCGGTTCTCGGGGAGCTGGTGAAGCTCGCCACGCTTTCAATCGTCGTGGCAAGGGACAAACCAGGAGGCCCCAACAATAACCAACTAGTAAATAAATGCCCTTTGACGGGTTTGTTCGTAATATAGTAGCTCGGAGAATACACTGCGCCGCTCGTCCGTGCAAATACGTTACAATTTGACCGATTTCAGAGCGAAGTTATACATAAATTGTGAATAAGCATGAAAAAGGCCCACCCACACACCATCGATGAAACGTCAATGTTTACAGAAACAAAAATAACACTAGCCTTAGCCACGCTAGCTGCCTCGTTAGCAAAAACCAAAGTTAAAAAACGTCTGCTCCAACGTTAACGAGACTCAGAGCATAGAAAGTCTCAACCGCTAAAGGTGACTCCCACACAAAGCAATACACTCAAGAAAGTGCAATGTTTTGTCTTTTTTGACAGACTAGGTAATAATGAGAACCATTCAGTATAGATAGCACGGCTTCCGTAAGGACGGTGTTGGAGCTTCCGGGTATGACGTAATTGAAACGCAATATCCTCAATTTGATAATACCTGCTCTGCTGCAAACAGACGTCAAACGTCAAATCCAAATTCAGGAAAAAAAAACACAGTTGTTTAAATTGGGAAAAAAATTATTCCTGATGCCTCATCATAATAATTTCTTCATTTGTTTTACCCTGCATATGACCTAAAAAATAGAAAGACTCTCATTGGTTGTGCTATTTGCTAATTGACTCCAGGTGACAATTGCCGGCAAACTTATCAGGAGAGGTGAGCGCTGCAGAGGAAGTAAGGTGCTCAGAAAATGGGGTTGATGTGGATGTGCATTTTTTTACTTCACTTTTACTCTGTCTACTCTAATCCTCTGGCAAGTGTGCCAGAACATGAAGATGCAGAATTAGAATGGAAGAATTTGCAGGCAGAGCTGAAGAATGAGATGGATCAAGTGCCTCCAAGCCTTGCACCCAGATCCCCTGTGTTTCGGGACAGATTCCGAAGGAGTAGATCAGCACCTCAAATGGCTCCTTGGTATAGAATTGTGCCTTTCTCACAAGATCCAAAAGAGTTATTCATGCCAGAAAAAGGTGTTCGACCTATCCCCGCCTCAGTCAAGGAAATGTTGCTTGCACCACCTCCCACTGTTGCCTCACTTGGAGAAGCAGCCAAAAATAAGCTTGTTGAGGTCTTGTGCCACATTGACCGTATGTATGTGAAAGTAAGCAAGGAGCTTTTCTCAACAAGAGACGCATTCAAAGACTTGAAACTTGGCAAGTGTCCTGTGAACGAAGGCACTTCGGAAAATTATTACCTTCTGTATCTTCTGAAAAATGACTGTGGATTCAAGAGAGAGGTTGGTTCATGTTTTTTAAATTATTATTTGCAGGGTTTTGGCTTTTTGCAGACTTCAACCTGCAAACATGTCTGTGTCCTAGAGTACTGATGACTATTTGTTCATCAGTATTGTGCTCCACTACAAGCCAACCACTCCAGTTATACGAGAGATGCCATTTGACGTTGTCTTGCAGTGTAAATACCCAAGGTAAAATGCTTTATCATTTGTTATACTCCATAATGCAAATTGTGACTATTGCATTATTTTTCAGCAATCTTAAAGATGGATAAAGTAGAGCTATGAATAAATATTGCCAAACAAAAAAGAAAAAACAAGCCTTCAAATAGTCTTCGAAATGAAAATATGCTTTAAAACAATTTACTTGATTGATTACCTGGCAAGTTGATGCCATCTAAGTAGACCCAGCATTTTCTGTTACTTTTTATTTTTCCACAGATTTCAAACTTAAGGCCTGGGGGCCAGATCTAGCCCGCCACATCATTTTACATGGCCCCCAAACTCAAATCATGTGCCAACTTCCATGATTGTGCTAAAATTTACCCATATTTTAAATTGTGTAATAAAACAAGCTTTTGCAATCATTGTTTTGTTACTCTTCAAATCTAACTTTTTTCCAAGAAATTAGAAAAACTATCTTCCCTGACTTTTGATTTCTAAACTAGCATCAATCAATTTTTTGTGTAATATGTAATAATATCATGAGATGATTAAACATTTATTTGGTGTCACTGTCATAACGACCCTCTGAGGGAAGCCGTAACTACAAAGTGGCCCGTGACAAAAAAATGAATTTGACACCTCAGCACCAGAATGAGATGCTCGTCTACTATTATTAAGTTTGTATGAACCTAGAATTTTTTTGTTCTGTTGCAGGCATTTTCACTCCTTCCATCCTGGCATCTCTATCGAATTGAGGAGGGGCACGGTTTACAAACCCCTCCGATCAAAACATGCTTACGTAATCATTCCTCAAGATGGTATGATTTTTGGAAAAGTATTGTATGTCGACATTCCACGCACGGCACTATCTTGTGTGGCAAATGACTAAATTGTTTTAAGATGACAACATTTTATACACACTATTAGAAAGCACCAGGCAAAGGATGCGGGCAACCACTATTTTTGTCACTTTACATTGTGTAACTGTCAATAGTATGACAGTAACAAAGACTGAAATTCCTTATACAAAATAAATCAAATAAGTGGCATTTGTAATTTGCATAATTCTTTGCCAATTCACCTGTCTTGTGTTTTTAGCATCAGGGAATGAAATTGGGGGAGATAAAACGTTTATCCTGGGACAGCCGATGTACTTTGAGGTGAAACGGGCAGACAACATTTCCACGAACAAGAGGCTTTACATCAACAAGTGTTTCATGACAGCTCTCCAAGATCCTTACTCTGAACCTAAATACACAGTTATTGACAACCAAGGGTAACAAGTTCGGCTCAGGTCCCAAATAAGAATGTCAAAATTCAATCTTAATGTGAGTTTTTCATTTTTGCAGTTGTATGATTGATAGTAAGGTGACGAGACAGTCTGCGTTTCTCAAGGGCCACTTAAACGTCCAAAAATTCTCAGTGAGTGCCTTCATTTTCAAAGACACGGCTGCTTCTTCATCATCACCGGTATGCTCAGTGTAATGTGCGCACACACACGTGACAACTAATGTTGTATACACGGTATTTGTTGCACTAACTTAAAAAAAATATATATATTTTCAGCAACTCTATCTGCACTGTGAATTCTCTATGGGCGATCCAACACCCACCTCCAGTTCAAAGGCTTGCAATTACCATCAAGCTACCAAAAAGTGAGTCAACTGTGCCAAATTCGATCATTATTTCAGTAAGAGCATCACTTTTGGTAAGTTTGCAAGAAATAGTCATATCCGTGTTTCAGGTGGAAAGAGTTGCATGGTAATGACAGCGTGTGTACCTGCTGTGAATCCTCCTGCTTGTCACTATCAAAAGGTGCCATTTGTGTTCAGGTTTTAAATGTGAAAAATAGATCTTTAATCATTGTAATGTTACAGAACCCAAAACGTAATCATCTGACTGAATGATCGTTCCAACAGCTTCTGGGAACATGGTCTCAAGTCCGTCATGGAAGGTTAGCTTCAGAGGTAAGGATGGAAACCCGGACTTTGAGCTCAAGCCGAAATCTGCTGTCTGGGGCACGTCCAGCTTTGAGGACTTGAAGGACCATCGTGACTTCCTTAGCTACTGGGAGTAATTATATCTTGGAAATAAAACTACTCCACCTCATCTGTGTTGTACTGTATTTATTGCTATCTATGTGGAAATGTTACTGTATTGTCAATACAGTTTCCTTCATAAGTATCTGCGTATTTGCATTTGTTAGCATCGCCTGTAAAAATATTTTTGTAGATACACTCAGGCACCACAAGGGGATGGAAGAGATTCACAAATTTGACAAGAGCCAACGCGGCAGGGAGAGTCGAGACATTTTGGGCCGAGGCATTCCCCAAAGAACGTGGCATAAATGCCACTCACTCTGGCATCCACTGTGTTGGTTTCGCAGTCAAACGTCGATGCATCAGTGCAGGTTTACAGCGCCAAGCTGTCCGTGTTACGTCTTGACAAAGCTGCCCGTCTGCTCTGGAGAAAGAAAGTGATCAAGTATTTAAAAGTTTGAATGTGGCATGACAATAGCAATTGGATCATTGCTCTAGCCTAGCCAGTGATGAGGTCAAACCCGTACTTGAGAAACCGTAACCACACATCACTCAAGGTGCGACGAAGCCACCAACTACTTTCACAGGCTGCGATTTTTTTTCTTCACACGTTGACCACTGTAAGCATTGTCACTTTCAAACTTCGTGCCAACTACTGTGAACTGCTGAGGCAGGTCAAGAAAGACGTGAAGAATAAACGCAGGGGTCATCAGTCAGAAGGAGTCATCTTGCATCATGAAAATGCAAGGCCTCCCACAGCAGTCCAAATGGTGCAGACCATCAACAAGCTGAGCTAGGAACTGCTCCCTTATCCCCCTTACAGCCCAGACCTTGCCCCTTCAGACTTTCACCTGTTTGGTCATTTAAAAGCGTTCACGAGAGGCCTGAAGTTTGAAAGTGACGAAGTCAAAAGTGTTGTGAGCGACTGGCTGAGACATCAGTCCAAAGATTATTAAAATGAGGGAATATGGAAGCTTGTGCACAGATTGGAAATGTGTGTGACAGTGCTGGGAGACTACGTTGAAAAAAGAAAAATTAAGCTTTTATCTGTATTCGAAGTCCTTATGACGAAAAATGTTATTTATTGAATGACCCTTTGGTTGAATCGGGGGATTATTTTCAGTAAACCTGTTGTCCTCATTCACAAGTCTAATATTCTGGTCTAAAGGTCTCTTCTGGACAAGCACCATCTTGTTATAGGCTAATTTGCATACGCGAGTAGTCCAAAAGTGACCACAAACACTTGTGCAAGGTTTCTTTGCATGTCTAGTCCTGCATGCAAATCCCAAGTCATTGAGTTTTTACGGTACTTGTTCTTCCACAAGTGCACAATCGAACAAATGTCACTCTATTTTATGTACCGCTTATTCTGTTCTGACTTTGGGCAAAAGACAGACTACACCTTGGACTGGTCGCCAGTCAATTACAGGGCTAATGTAAAAGCAAATTAGTTACTTCAAATGATAATGAGTTGTCATCACCTCCACAGCAAGGCAGTCACGCAAAGCAAGAAAGAAAATCCGGCTTCTTGCTTGTATTCTTTATGTAAGCGTTTGTGATTCTTCTTTCATTCTACCCGATTACGTTAATATTGTATTTCTGCAGTCAGTACGAAAGTATGTGTCTCTCCAAGAAAAACTGAACGGACTCATCTCATTGTCACACCTTTCCAGGAACGTACTGTGTACATGGGTTTGATGAAGGAAACGAGACACCGCTGCAGCCTCAGAACTTGCTTCCTATTTTAGATTGAACTTGAACTTGGCTAATGACTTATTTCCTGTGACTCTTTCCTGTTTAATATGTACAAAAAGCCCCCAGAGCACAGACGTCTTGTATTTAAAATGTGACTACAGCTTAGGTGTGAAGTGAGATACTGCATATGCTGTGGGCTTCCATATCAACGAGCGGTTCTCAAAGTGTAATAACTGATCTGAAATATGATGTGCAAGGCTACATAGCAGTACAAGAACGCAAATGGCTATGTGGCAACATGACTTGTGTCTATTATTACAGTCCCTCGCCTTCTATTTGATCGATGACTTCAAGACTGCTTTAGTACGTCACTGCTATGTATTTTTGGGCAATTTCAAACAAATATTTTGAACGTATTATTTGTATTTTCCGGAAGCTAAGGGTTAGCTAGTCCGTGTAAATATTTCCAGCCTTTGTCTCTTAGCCATCAACCACATTTTTCAAACAAAGCCACAGACATTTGAATGCTTTTTGCATGTCTCAGGTGGAATCCTTGACAATAACAAGTATACAAACAATACTACAGTACAGTACACCATTAACACAGTAAGAATAAAAATGTAAACTCTAAAACGGCTGTGTTATGTGTTTTGTGTGACGTGTTGGCTTAGTTTAAAGTCAGGCGCGGCGAAGGAGAATTCTTTGCGATGTCACCATCGGTACAGGTGCTTGCGAGGGGTGGGGCAGGATGACCAAATATGTGGTCGACTTTGAACAATCCTACAGACGGTTTGAGAAACACTGTTCGGTCGGTCTGATGCACAGCGTGTGAAGAGACAAAAAAAAAGAACTGCTAATACTTCAAATGGGCAACTTGTGGGCTTTCCGTCTCTTCCAGCGTCTACTTTAAAGCAAGTAAGTGCTGCTATTTGTGTTTATTTTTGTTCTACCCTATTGTTGAGTTTCAACTTAACAGTTACAGTCTACCGTCGCATATTTTGGACAACTCGAAACTAAATATAATGGATCCTTGACTTGCAAGTCATTACACAGTAGTATTGATCGCCATAGAATTTGTGTTTATAATCCATGAAAGACTTCATAAGCGAGTGGTTTCTACAATAGTATTTGAATATACAGCACAAGTATGTGACGTTAAACACTGCAACGCAGCTACCACTAAATATAAAGTTCTGCTTCACACATTTTCATGTGACTTTCTGAATGCTGTTGTGTCACCCAACTTTTTAAAAGATCAATTTGTACACGATGAACCTCTCCTTCTCACAGATTTGCATCCCATTGGAGCTGAAGCCCTAACATATGTGCAAAGATGGATAAATTGCGTATGATGTTCCAGTTCCTTCAATCCAACCAGGAATCTTTTATGAATGGGATCTGTGGTATCATGGCCCTGGCTAGTGCACAGATGTACTCTGCCTTTGAGTTCAGCTGTCCCTGTATTCCAGAATACAACTACAGCTATGGGATCGGGCTGCTGATCATCCCACCGATTTGGTTTTTCTTATTAGGATTTGTATTGAACAATAATGTGTCTGTGCTAGCAGAAGAATGGAGAAGACCTACGGGAAAGAGGACAAAGGATCCATCAATCCTTCGCTACATGTTTTGTTCAATCACACAGAGATCTTTGATAGCACCTGCAGTTTGGGTGTCGGTGACTCTCATGGACGGAAAGAGCTTCCTCTGTGCTTTCAGCATCAATCTGGATGTTGACAAGTTTGGGAATTATAGTCTCATCAAGGGGATGTCCGAGACAGAGAAGATAAAACTGCTGGCTAAGATTCCATGTAAAGACTTATTTGAACATCAGGAAGTCAGAGTAGCGGCGTCACGCTACATCAAGTGCATATCACAGGTGTGCTGATCTTTTTATGTTTCATAATTTTATATGTGGACCCTGCATCAGCAATGAATTTTTAAACTTAAATAATGCTCTCTCTCTCTCTCTCTCTGTGTGTGTGTGTGTGTGTGTGTGTGTGTGTGTGTGTGTGTGTGTGTGTGTGTGTGTGTGTGTGTGTGTGTGAGGGCTAGTGGCAGAAAATGGATGAATTGATTATTCAAGTCCTTCTTTATTTTAGGGTTCTCTAGTAATACAAACTATTAGTGGTGTTTTATCCGATAAAGTCATGACCTGACATTGTTCATCCAATATAAATACATTTTAAGGTTGTGGGCCCAAAGTTGTGAACATTTTCATGAAGTTTTGCAATTGAATCACGTTATATGATGACAAAGCAAATTTCATTTCCTGTATTTAGTTATCACAACTAACTTCTTTCTACATTTGGAGCGCAACGGGGCCTTTTATTGGCTTAATAACGGGAAAGATAAGCCTCCAAATTTATTATTCATGGAACTCTGGCCTATTGTCATCCATCCAAAACACCCACTCTGTTTTTCGTGCTTTGATCCGCTGAAGGCAATGTTATGGTTTTAAAGTAAGATAGGAACACATTTTAACTGATCTTTATATGAGGATAATTCCATTATAGAGCTATGAACAGTTATGTACATGAAAATATCTCAAAAGCCAAGAATGACAGCTTACTTTATACTTTTGATAACAACTCAACCCAATGTGAAGCTCTTTCCCTAATGGTAGCCAACTGTTTGTTTTGCAGGCTTGTGGCTGGATGTTTTTGCTCATGATGACCTTCACAGCATTCCTGATCCGTGCTATTCGACCTTGCTTTACTCAGGCTGCTTTCCTCAAAACCAAATACTGGTCTCATTATATTGACATTGAGCGCAAGATATTCGATGAGACCTGCAAGGAGCATGCCAAGAGCTTCGCCAAGGTTTGCATCTACCAGTACTTTGAAAATATTAGTGGAGAGATGCGCAACTTACATCATCACTCCAGCAAGGATGACAGTGACTATGAGGATGATGATAAGAGAAGGAACGAAGAAGACAAACTCCTGGGTATCAGGGTCCAGGATGACATGAATAAAGCTTTGTGCAACTGGCACATATGCAAGCCAGCTCTTGCGTTGAGAAAAGAGCAAAAAAATGGTGAAAACAATGACAAACTGCATAGAGAAGGCGGTGGAGCAGTAAATGGGCTTGCAAACGGCCACACTCATAATGTGGAGAAAAAGGAATGGGCGGTGTATTACAGTAAAGTCTGACCTCAAAGGGACAAAGGACTACGTGCTTGAAATACCTTTGGTTTCCGGAGTGTATCAGAAATGTGTTTGTGAATGAATTTTCAGTCTGTTGACAGGCTCATTTAATGTGCTTACAACCCTCTACTTTGGGTACAATGCGCATCTAATGTAGGCTAACGCAAAAGCTGTACATATGTACTGTATATAGGATGTGTATTTTTGTGTATACACTGTTGATACAGTATTGCATGCTTACAACCCACTACTTTGGGTACAATGCGCATCTAATGTAAGCTAAGGCAAAAGCTGTACATATGTACTGTATATGTATACAGGATATGTATTTTTGTGTATACACTGTTGATACAGTATTGCGAAAGTATTCGGCTCCCTTGAACCCTTCACACATGAAAATATAAAATTGGATATTTTTTATGAAGAATCAACATCAAGTGCAACACACTTGCGAAGTGGAACGTAATGCATTATAACCTTTGTTTTGAAATTAAAAAAAAACTGAAAAGCTAGCTAGAGACATCCACCAACAAGACTTGCAGCTGTAATCGCAGCAAAAAGTGGTTCTCAGAAGTATCGACTCAGGGGGGGCTGAATAATTTTGCGCACCCCGCTTTTCAGTTTATTTCTAAAAAAGACTGTCACGTATCATATGAATTTTGTTCCACTTATTGTTCGTGTCCTGCTTGGTGTTGATTGTTCACAAAAAAATCCAATGTTATGTCATTTAAAAAAAAATTAAATAAAAAAACTTAAAGGAGGCCCAAAAGGGGCCCAATACTTTAGCAAGCGATTGTATATGTGTGTGTGTATATGCATGTATATTATAGTTGTTTGAAGTGGCTTACAACAGCACTGAATCAAATGGGTGTTGCACATGTTATTCTAGCTTGCTCAGGCGACCAAAATATTGAAAACACATGTATGCAGTGCAGTTCTTGACCACTCCAAATTACACCACAATCATAAACATATTGTGAAATGAATAACTATGGCAAGGTCAGTCAAAACTGAGCATCTGTCGTGTAAAACTTCTGGTATAGCTCATTCATAACATTTTGTAGATGTACATAATGTTGGGGGCAGTGTGGGTAGAATTCTTCCGCTTCATATAAATTTGACATTCAGTATATATTACACATTACATATCACACAAATGCTACACGCATAAAACGTTTGAATGTATAGTGCAAGTTATATGTTTTTCTTTTCGTGTTGGGAAAAAAACTAAACCGTCTCTTATTTTGTTGTCCTACAAACAACAGCTGCTGCTCCAGGCAACTAAACGCTCTGGCTGTCGAAAGTGGTTGAGGCTGCAAAAAAGTGCCCCTGAATGAAATGATAGTTTAGCAATAAGCCAATGATGACACTCAAACGTGTTTGCTCTCAAGGGCCACCATGAAAATTCCTAAGTGATGACAGGACAGACCCAGGCAGAAAAAAAGGGGCATGTAAACAAGAATCTGAGGGCAGTTAATGCCCCGATTGCACCACATTTGCAGTCAGGCAAAATGTGTGATTTATGCAAACGTAAAGGTTGTGATTTACCTGCTGCTTGAACATAAGGTCAACATTTGCATCTGTCTAGCTCCCTTATGTTTTATTTTGTCAAGCCCCTGCTTGAGCATTGATGGAATTCATCATGTGTTAAGACAACAATTCACTGATCAGGAGACGGGTGAGAAAAGGACTACATGGCACTGATCACCTGTAAACAGGACTGCAGGTTGCGAGCGTCATGATGTGTCAGCATCAACAACAATGCTTGTAGCGTTTTACTACAGGCTGTTTGTATGCTCTACATCGGGATGGACAATCCAGCTGTTCCTCTGCAATGACACGACTAACAGTCAGAAAAGGACAAGGAGGAGGGGGGCTGAATGAAAATGGCTTGGATCCCATTGTTGTCCCTCCCTCCCCCTCGGGGATTAGTGAAGCAGCACTCCCCTTGACCGTCTGACAGCTCGCCCAGTATCCCAGCAGCTGTTCTGCTCCTCAGTGGACTGGCACCAAGGGTGGCTGGTGTGGGGGGTTGGTGGTAAGCATGTCTTTGTCCACCTTGCCATTTCTTAATCGGAGGTGATTCTCTTTCACGTTGTCACCTTCATGCATTCCTTCCTGAGTTTGTCCTCTGCAGTCATGATTATCTTTGTCTGCTCACTAGCCACATTAGGGAGAACTAGTGAGATAGATCTATTCAGATTTTTCTTATTCGCAAAAGGTGATTGGGGAAACTGTGTTCAAACAAGCTACCAATATGATGCAGGGAAGTCATACACTCATAAAAAGTGAAATTACAAAAATAAACATGTCTACTGTTCTGAAGTATTGGTGGCAGCTCCACCCATGAAATAAGCAGAGGATATATTGTCACTTAAGAGGACATTTAACAATACAGGAGGCATACAGTAAAAATAGACTGTAGAAAGCACGTTGCATCAACTACGAATATCTGACATTTCACTGCGATCAACACCTCACTGATAATGTGAACCCCCCCCCCCAAAAAAAAGCTTTATGTTTATCATTCCTCTTGAAGCTAATGTGGTTCTCACTAGATGGTAAATAGTATCTGATCAAGGGAGTGGAATTAGCTCAAAGTAAGCCAGTCTGAGAAACATTGAACAAAACACACTGTATGCATTCGTGAAAGAAAGAAAAGAGAGGATTGGGCATCTGCATGCGATCTGGCTGACATCTACTTGGCAGAAATGACATTGTTTTGTTTGTCAGGACATCAGCCATGCATGCATGCAGCTGACCGGGGCCTCCCTCGCTTGACTTTGCTGCAAGAGCCTCTTTGCTCTCCCTTTCACATACATGAGAGAGGTGTACGCACACAGACACATACACATCAGCATGCTTGCAGGCATCCTATTCGTCAGCGTCTGGCTCATTCTGCCTTCCTTCTGCCTACAGATTGGAGGACAGAGGCAGAGGGAGGGCCGAGGCCGAGCAGAGTTGCGAGGCAAAACGGATGGTCACATGAGCACAGATCTGTTTACAAACCCGAGGCAGAGCGGAGCAGTGCAGGAGGCGTCGGGAGGGAAGAGGCAGACTGCAGGCTCACTTTAAAAACCATTATGGACAGAGAGAGGACGAGGAGAAGCGTGCCATGACAAAGCCACTTGGAGGTGGGAGAGACTGATTGCAGCAGATAACACCCTTCACTGACACACGCCGCCTTTTGTCTTTTTTCGTCTGAAGGAGCAAGCAGATGGTGGGAAGAAGAGGATCCCCCTCCCCATTGAATCAAACAAAAACACACATGCACTGAGCGAGAAACAAACTCATACTCAGCAGCAAAAACAGCGATGCCAGCTTCAAGACTGCCTTGCCGAGCGGTCCTCACTCTGTTTGGCCTTTGAGAGGAGCACATCTTTGGCTTCTGGAATACCCTCTGCAACATCAGCGGACTGGAGGAGGAGACAGCAGAGGACATCTGAGGGGGGGAGAATGAAAGCCGCGAAAATCCTCTGTTAAAAAAAGCGGCTTTATGGGGGGAAGACAAAGCAGACTAAAGCCAGATTATTACCTCCATTGATCGACGACTGTCATTGTGATCGGTGGATGACATTGGAGCCAATCCTGGCGGAAAAAAAAACACAAGTCATAGAGGGTCTTTGTCTGCTTTGACTGTAAACACTGACTGCGCTGTTGATGATGTTATGACTGCGCATGATTCAGATTTTGACAACAACTTGCGAAATAACCCACGGTATGAGGCAAGTGACAGTTCCAGCTGCACAACAAGATTTCTTTGTCTTCTCTGATGACATCATTCATACTGGCATCCAAGAGCACATGAGATTTTTAGACGCGGTCCAAACTCTTTTCCCAAATATCGCAGTCTTAACACGGAGGGCTTGATCCAGATTTGGGAAATGCTGGGCCGCACAGACTGCTGAGCCAACAAAACCACACCTCTCAAGGATTTATGGAAATCTGAGCAAATCTGAAAAACTTAAGACTTGTATTTGGAGGGGCTCAGCACACAGTGACTGATCGCAGGCACCAACCACGAGTCCAAGAGTTTGGCCTCCATTCAAGCTCAGCCTTCTTCTTAAAGGGTCTGAATTTATTGCAGCTGCCCCAGGAATCAAATTTCATGCAACCATTCCAATGGTGTAACGGTAAGTGGATTTCTCTGCCATCTGTTTAATACTCGTAGGACCCAGTACGTATTTTGTGTAGCCTACTTAGAGCTCGTCACCTCAGTTTATGCTTCATAGTTTACTGGCTCTGCATGATGGTTTGAGCAAATCACAAAGGCCTGAATGTTTTGTCTGTGACAAACGGCGCTCCAAATGAGGTGCATTCAAGTTCATGTTTACTTCAGTCAGACAACTACCGCAGCTGCATATTCCTGATTATTCTACGACCTCAGTCCGCGTTATTGTTTTGTGTCTGGTTTAGTATTGTGAACAAAAGTTGTGGGGCACACAGCAATCAATCAATCAATCAATCATGTTACATTCCTACCCAGTCTACGTCTTGATTCTTCAGCAAGACATTTTGGTCAACTCTAAGCTTCCAAATTTGTGAGTGCAGTTTGGGGTGAGCCATGTTGCCTTCGAGCATGACACAAGGAAAAATAATGGCATGCTGAGAAGAGTTTGGTGTGGATGAAGTGGAGAACTCATCAAATAACGTTGATATGAACTCGAACAGAAATGAGGCAGGTCCTCTTTCATGTCCAACATTACTAACCTCACATGGGTTCTTCTTGATCATAAAATGCCACAGAGACACACGCTAACATATTTTAAAAATACTTCCTAAGAAGTGTGGAAGCTGTTAAAGCTGCAGAGTGGGGACAACCACTTATTTCATTCCATTTTTACTTCCTGTACAGGCCTGGTATCCACATTTTGCTCACGTCATCTATCTCTCATTCAGTTTCCCTGCCCCCCTTCTTTTAAAATCCCCCAACCTCCAGCTAGGTCAAATTATCATACCTCCCACACAGTGCAAGCTGTACCCATTCATTGACTCTGAAGAGAGACACATGGACATTTCGAGACTGGCAAAGAGCCCGCTTGCTGCAAATTAATAGGGTGACATGTGGCTAGTGGAAGTGGGGCTTCCGCTGCTATTGTTTTGCCAAATGGCCCCTTGGTCCCAAGTTCATTCTCATTTCAAATATACCCCCACCCCCACCCGGCCACCTGCAGCACCCACGTTTCTGGGTCTTTCAAAACGAGCACACACATAGACTGCACTACACAATCCAAGCCCTCAACCCCCAAATGCTGTCACACATGCACACACTTTACTACACTACTCTATTTAGTCTGGAGAACAGATGGTGGTGTGTCGGTGTCTGTTCGCTGTGTTTGTCTACTTCACGGCCAATTAAGGGGTCGCACTACGAGGGTTAGGGTTGCCACCACTGTCCCACAGCCACAGCTCCATGGACACACTCGCATCTGAGCAGCATCACCGAGTATTTCTGACCAAACAGGAGAAAATCTCCAGTTATGAGGGAATAAGCCAAGTGCCACATGCACTTGAACCACTGGGACTCACACATGCGGTTACATTATATGACGGCAAACTAATGATGATGATGATGATGTAACTTACTATTCCAAAGCCAGTTTGAGTTCTCAGTTCCAGACATCTCTCCAATGACCTGAATTTGATTTGATTTAATTTCATTGGATGTATGTGTTATAAACTTGTCGATCTGTCTTTTTTTTTTTTTTTTTTTTTGGCAGGATGCCTGGTCGGTTTGAATTCTCTGAGCTCTGAACACGACTGCAGCATGACGTCTGACATGTATCACCTGCCACTCAATGTGTATGTCATTGTACTGGGCATTGGCCTTTTCGTCTTCATGCTGAGTCTCATCTTCTGCTGCTACCTTTTCCGGTAGGTATAAAGATGAGAATGGAGGTTGGCCTTGCCCATTCTGAATTGCTGGAAAGTATTGGAGAAGTGTAGTGTATGTGTGAGGGAGAAATTGAGACAGCAATGAATTTTCACCACATTGCCACAAAGTGCACCAGCCAGCCCAAAATTTATTGATTTCTTGATTCTGTTCTTTATAGTATGTACTGTAGTCCTATTGGGAACATCTAATTATATGCTTGGATTATTTAAAGACCGGAAAAAAAACAACAAAACCATAAAACCATCCCTAACATCAAATGACTATGTGACCAAATTTGCAGCTCTTCACACTTCTGTAGGCTGTTTTTGTTTTTGTCTTGGTCTGTACACACTTGTTTTAGCCTGTTAGCGTACACAATTACTCCATGTTCGTACATTCATAGCCTCTTAATGTATTTTATTTATTTATGTGAACAAATAACGAGCCATTTAACACCTTGTTGAGCAGCTCTTTGAGGAAAATTGCTACAATTTACAGTAGCCAACAACAATTCCAAAACACTAATCACGTTATGTAAATTGGACCAACTATACAATTTCAAACATTTATTTATGAATATGCTAATGAGTCAATTACATGAATAAAATGCACAAAAGACTCGAACTCTACTATAAATACAACGTAAATTCAGTGATAATTAACCCTTTCACGGACAGCGGTTACTACAGTGGACAGCTTATCATGCTATAAGGTTACAGGGAGCATGAAAGGGTTAAAATATTTTCATCAATGAATTATTTCAAAAACAATTATTGTCGAATTGTTGTCGACATCTAATATGACATCGAATTGTTGTCTACGTGTAATATATGATGAAGTGATTTCATATTTAGATGGGATGCCAGAAGCTCACCTGTAAGGCTTTGGAGCTGAAGGTCAAGTCCCGCTGTGGACAAAATGTACAAAAATGGCGAGTCGTCCACATTGCAATGTTGGTCTGCTTCCTAGCTACTGTTGAAGCGTACCCAAGAGCAAAGCAAAGCACAGGAGGTGCAGCACTATTTGCGCACCCCTTTCAGTCTGACCTTGCATGCCTGCATCTGTTCCGTTCTAATGTACTGAAGGGTGTGAGTTTGAATTTCCCTTTGAGAGATGAGATTAAGTATAATAAATTCAATTTAAATTTGACGGTCACAATGAAGGAAACGATGTGGCCCGGGACGAAAATCACTATAATTATAAACATATGTAGAGTGTGAAGGTTTTGGTTTACGGTGGTAAAGTAGATGCCTACATCATTCTATTTTATAGTGGGCACTTGGACAGTGTTCAAAAATTATATGTATCTTGTCTTGCTCTATATTTGAATACTTGATTATGTGCTCCAGGGAAATTCATGCTCATTATCATTTTATGGCTTGCATATTTATTTTAATTGCCGAACAATTGAATAATTATCCCTTCATGTTAATTTCCACAACAAAAGCTCAACATACAGTCACCATTTGGAGTTTGTGTCAGCTGAAAACAACACCGCACTCTTTTTAGCTCGGAGTGGACAGGTCGTACGAGAGTTCTCCCGAACTTACCATTGGCCGCCATGCCCTTGTTGCTCGCGTGTGTGAGCATCATTGGAATGACAGTGTTCAGTAAATATTTTAACAAGTTTGTGATTGAGTTATTCTTTCAAGTATTCATAGTAATTAGTGAAATTGCAATGCTTTTATTTTAGTCAGGGAAGGACCCACAGATTCAAAGCCATGAATGCAATTGTACCATGCTTAGTCCCAAGGTAATGTTCGTGACAGAGTTTTGAAAAAATACAAATTCAAATAAACTGCTTTTAAAGCGAATTTCTATAACAATTGACATTTTCTCAACCCCAGCCAGATTGACAACATAATGTCCCTCACCTGATAACTTGCAAGGCATTATCATCTGACAAATTTGTCCCAGGGGCAAGAGTGCGAACCACATTTCTGGAAGGACCTTTAATGCTGAAACAATGGCCTAACACATTGGAGGGACACTCATGCCTTAGGTCCTCACTTAAAATTTTGGCATAGTTCTGTGCTGTCGAATGTCTTACCACAGTAGATTTCTGTATACCATTAAAGTGCATATTTTGTCTTGTTTGTGGCTTACTCAGGTTGAAACAACAAGGAACGAGGGAGCAGTTCAGCTACAATGAGGTTTGTCACTCACTGCAGTCTCTGCACGTGTAACAGCACACTCTGAGACAGACTCTAAATCCTACCACTGCATGTCAGGCTTTTTTCATTCAGCCGAGCAACATAACACCACCTTCCAGAAGAGTTCATCAGGGTACATTGAATGCAACAATTCTGAAACTAATATTAGACTAGGTTTTCTATGCATCAAACAGAGGAGTAATATGAGGTCAGTCATGTTAGGATATATGGCCCATCGGAAGAAGTTATATTTATGAGAGTGCTGACACTGTATTACATTAAATGTTCATCCTTCCATACTCATTCTTCACTATAGGTGGTGCTGAAGGGAGCAAGCAAGAAACTCAGCCTGCTTGGAGTAAGTCATTTTGCTTTACATGTAATTTACATATGCTGCATTAGAACAGATTCGTAACCTTTGTCAGTGTGCTGCAAGCAATCTCTTACTATCCATCCATCCATTATCTGTGACGCTTATCCTCACTAGGGTCACGGGCGTGCTGGAGCCTACCCCAGCTGTCTTCGGGCAGTAGGTGGGGTACACCCTAAACTGGTTGCCAGACAATTGCAGGCCACACATAGACAAACAACAACCACTCACAGTCACCCCTGGGGACAACGTAGAATGGTCAACTCATCTACCATGCATGTTTTTTGAATGAGGGAGGAAACCAGAATACCCGGAGAAAACCCACACAGGCACAGAGAGAGCATGCCAATCAAATCCACACAGGACGGTTGGAACCCAGTTTCGTACCCTGGACCTCCGTACTGCGAGGCAGATGTGCTAACCAGTCACCCACTGTTCTGCTGCAAGAAATAAAATTTCACCTAATTGGTCCAAAAATTATGTCTTACTACAATGTACAGTAGTTCAACTATCGATGCCAGCACCATGCCGTGACAGACATTTTTTTTTAACCAGTAGAAGATACAAAACCTGTGTAAACCAATTTTTCGGATATTTTTGTCTGGTGGTGTGCTTTGAGATTTTTAAAATGTAAAATCTGTGCCTCGGTTCAAAGTTTGGGACACACTGCATTTGAGCCTGTGTGGAATGCAGCCCATGTTTCTGCCTTACTCTTTATAAGCCAGGTTGACCTATCTATTCTAACATACTGACGGCAGTTCAATCGTCAAATGTAATTAACATGCAACACGCATTTTACTGGCCATGTGCTTGAAATCTCTTTCGTTGATGGCAAATACATACCAAGTGCTTCCCAATCTTCAAGTGTGTAGTGGCAGAATTTAGGACTGCTAAGAATAACTGTGCTTTTTATAGATGCTTCATATGAGCATGCTTCTCTATTTGCTATCTTATAAATGACTGCCTTTAAATGTTTCAAAGGCAGAGGTGGGCGGGAGGGCAAGTTCAGATTTTGAGATTCAAAAATAGAAACAGCTATGAAAAGAACAATTACCGGTCATAACCAACACCTTATTTTATGCACTGAAACAGGGGCACATTGAACTTCACATTATTTTGTTTCTTTGTTTGATTGAGAAGATGAAGCCTTTTTTTGAAGTTACACAATGACACAAAATATGGCCTTACCTCATTGTTGTTCTGGTTTTGGCAGCAAACCTGCGCCGTGTGTCTGGAAGAATTCAGGACCAGAGACGAACTGGGAGTGTGCCCGTGCTCACATGCATTTCACAAGAAGTGAGTGTCTGCAATGAAAATTGTAAACAAACAACCACTTTCGAATACCTTTACTGTTTAATGTCAAAAGATCTGAAACGTCATTGTTAATATAAATCCAATACAAATCGCTGTGGAAAAACAATAGCGATCATTGTAAATATCACATTATTTTAGTTTAGATGATAAAGTACCGAAAAAGTAAAACGTGCCTTCTTATAATGCAGAGCTGCTGAATGAGACAGTGTTTACTACAAAAGAAAATACCAGAAAACAAGACACAGCCTGTAGTTCCAGGATGACAATGCTGACAAAACCGTTACCCAGTTAAACTTTGACGGTTCTTCCAATGTACGTAACAACCTGAGTGAGCTTTGACCTAAGGTGCACGGAACACGTAAGGCACTATTTATTGGGACATTTTATTTGTTTTCCCTGTAAATTCCTCTGAGATAAAATACAATTCAGATTCAATACACCCAATGAAAATGATCTGTCCACCAAAATGCCATTAAGTGCTTCATATTTTAGTTACTTTATTTGGAGACAAAGGGGACAACATATTAAGAGAATTCTGTCAGTTTTAAGTTTGTTTCTAGTGTTTATTATTTTTATAAAGCTCTTGTATTTAAATGGCACAACAGGAGGTCGTCGTCTGGTCTAACACTGCCACTCACATGATCTTATTGGCAAAATACATGAACAAGTGGCGAGTTTAGAATAATACTGTAATCTGAATGTATTGTTCAAAATAGTTTTTCTTGCCTAAATGGTTTTCATATGTTTTTCAACAGAGAGTGCATTCCACATCACATTATTAATAAAATAAGGATAAAAATGAATAGAGGCAAAGAAACTATTGAGGCAGCTACCACAGCACTTCCTGTTTTTGCTCTTATTTATAAACAACGCGTCTCTTCCGGTGCAATACTTAGCGGCCTGTCGCTAACTTCGTGATAGCCACACAGCAACATGTACCGTGCACTAAAGAACGTCAGATAAAACCAGATATTGTGGTCAAAACAGACTATGGCTAATCCCAACAATGTTTTTGCACGCAATGAATTAGATTGACACGATATACTGGCTAACCACCCAACAAACTCACGATACTGAATGTTATCCTCAGACGTCCGACTGCGTCACAGGTGCCACTGGCGCATGCTCTAACAGTCGAACTACACGACATTCTCACGGAAGAATATGCAAATTAACAATGGTTACAACTCTTGATAAAAATTAACATACACCTTAAAGAATATCACTGTGTGGCCTTTTCAACAGCATAACGACAAGGAGTTTTTGTCATCGGCCCTTCACAATGTGCCACTAAAGCAGGGCTGTAGTCAAGTCCACTTTTATTGAATCGAAGTCAAATCTGAGTCCACAAGGTCCGAGCCCAAGTCTAGATGAGATCAAGACTGAACCTTAAGATTGAAAAATACAATTTCCATGACCACACAATTAGAGAAATTTCATTTGCTGCATTAATGTTTCAATGAAACTTAATTACTGTACCTGTACAGTAGTCTGTAAATTCTTCCCATCACTGTTGCACAACTTCCCATAAAATGTGGCACTTGTACATTGCTTCGCTTTCACCCACTAGTCCTATTCATCCCAAACAACCTCAGTGGGGTTTAAGTCAAAAGACAGCCCTATTGTCGGTAAAACTAGAAAAAAATACATCTGTTTGTTTTGGGTAACCTTACTGGCTATTTGTAACCTGTCAGTTCACCTTTGTACCATTTCAAGCTATTCATTACTTGAACCGTTTTACTTTCAGGTTTTTATTTTTTAATGGAAGAGGTTGGGGGTTGAAACTTTGAAGTTTGTACCGGTAATTTAAAAAATGTTTAGATGTTTTGTCTCACCACAATTAATCCGAAGAGTACAAATTTATTTAAGAGAGACATCAAAAGCAAGCTAATTGCAACCAAAAAAAAAACATTCTACAGCCATTATTTCGTGTTTATTTTGGAACGAAGATCACTGTATATATGAGCAAATGCTCAAAAGCATTTTCTTTTATTTGTGGGGGCAGGCAAGGCACCAATAGCCAGGAATGATCCAGGTATTTCAGCTCCATCAAAGCATACATGTATAAATAATGAAATGAAATGTATCAGGGGTGTGTATCATCGTAAATGAATATGGTTCTTCCTTAGACCTATTGTTAAAACAGTTTGTACCCATTCAGGTGCCTGCTAAAGTGGCTGGAGATCCGCAGCGTGTGCCCAATGTGCAACAAACCCATCTTGCGGCTCCACACTGATGCCCCACAGGGTGCCGAGGGTCCCATGGAGCCAGAGGAAGTGTGAGGTTGGGAGAGAGGAAACTATACTTCTCTTAGGGAAAAAAAAAAACCACAACTCCATTTAAATGACTAGAGATGATCATCTCACAGACCAGACAAAGCTGTTTATGATCCCAAGCGGCTGTGTTGCCGCTGACCTTTGAGCAATATTCTTAGGTGGGAATTGGATGTTGACGGAGGCAAACGTGATTTGGTAGGGTCAGAAGATGGGGGGAGGATGTATAAATAAGACATTTTTCATTACATTGGTCCTCGCTTAGCTTCCATATTGCACTGCTCAGCAACAGCCGGTCTGGAAAGGAGGCACCGGGACTGCAGCACTGCTGGACAGAAGCGGTACTGAGCAGGAGCAGTACTGATACCTCTACCATCTCAGGGGTGTTACCAACCCAGCCAGCACAAACCACGTCAGTCACAACGTAACCCACACAAGCATTTTACAATCAATACTGCCACTGTGTAGGTAAAATACTCAAGCAGTCAAGCGGTAGCCACACGCTATGGATGACATCACAACTTCTGGATGACATCACGACCAGCATCAAGGACTTAAGTAGGCAGATTTTTTTTTTCAGAGTGTGTACCGAGAACTTTCCTTTTAAAAGAGGATAGAAAACTAGCGTGTATGTAATGTACGTAAATGTGTACCAATATATATTGTTATTTTGTATTTGTTGCTTTTAAATAAAATGTCATGTAATGTACTGTCATGAATGTAGTAAATTTATTGAGTGGTGGCAATGCTTTAACAAGGCTTTCCTACAATTCATTTCTGAACACAGGCAAAACTCATTCAGAGAGAGTAGAGTTAAAAAGAGTAAATTCAATTCTTAATTCTAGTTTGAGCCCGATCAGGTTGGTATAAGAATACATACATTTTACAAAAGGTTGGCTTGAGTCTTCTAGCTCCAATAATCTATTTCAACGGTAAAAATGTCAACTGTCAATTAAGAAACTATTCACATTATGTAGCCGTCAACACCAAACATATACAAGATGCATGATTGTACATTTGGTCTCTAGCTGGCAGCCTCACTGCCTTTGCCTTCCACAAACTCCACAGCCTTTTCTTTGACAGCCTGGATGCTTTGTGGTGTGCCATGCTTCTTCTCGTACTCCAGGTAGCGTTTGAAGAAGAACTTGATTTTCTTCACTGACACACTCAGGTGGATGACACGATCAAAGATGGCCCTGCGTGATAATTTAGATGAATCTGACTGTAAACATGCAACAAGCTTTCTTAACCTGTTCAGAAATCAAGAAAAGAACTGGCTGAAATGTTTAGGTAGAACAATTGGGGGGGGGGGGATCCAAACAAAAACAAACTTGTCCTTACCGGACTTCCTTCTGTGATCCATGCTTGACCATGAGGTCGATGAAAATGGACCAGAGGTCAGTGCGTTTCGGGTAGCTTGTCAGTATTTTGTCAAACATCGTGCGACCCTTTTCCGTGTTTCCAAAACGAAACTCCAGCTGGGCAAACTTTGTGATCACGTCCACGCCTGATGACAAATTACAATGTTTAAAAATTGGTCTAAGTGGATGTAAGCAGGCACAAACACTCAAAATTAATCACACCTACACAAGCCAATAAAACCGAATACATAATCTGAACTGTCAGAGAAGTAATCATTTAACAATATTTTATTATTGTGTCAGTAGTTTGCATCGGTGTAGAACGACACTGCGCGTTTTCCCGCCTTGTAAGGTTACCAATGCATTAAACAAACTGGTATCAAACACAAGAGACCACCCAGCATTGTGAAGTACTTCAACCAAAACTCTTACTAGTCAGTGAGATTGAAACATTTTACATTACATTTAGGAGATAGTCTATATGGGAGCAAAGTGTCAGATTAAAAGATAAAATAATTACAAAAACTGTGAGGGGTGTACTCACTTTTGTGAGATACTTTATAAAAAAAATCTGATGCCGATATTCACCTTTATAGATCATTTTACTCACTTTCTTTGGATGGCAGACTTTTAAGTGCCCTTTGCAGGAGAGCACTGGCAGCATCATTCTGGCCGTGCTGTAGCAGGAAGGTACCATAGCTCAGCCAAACCGCTTTGTTTTGGCGGAAACGCTTCACCATTGACTTATACAAGTTCTCGGCCTCCTGACCCAAACACAGTGAGAGAGAGTGAGAGGGAGTGAGAGAGAGAGAGAGAGAGAGAGAGAGAGAGAGAGAGAGAGAGAGAGAAAGAGACACACACACACACACACACGCACACATACACACACACACAGTGTTCAGCTCAAGCAACATAAATCTTTTACAAAGAACTGTTTCATTGATTTGCCGTTCGTTCGTCAGAAGGGGTGTTCACACAGCACACATTTGCATCGGTGCTGCACCGACGTATTTTGTTGCGATATATCTTACACCGGTGCAAATTTTGCTGAGTGTTCACACGTAAAAAGCTGCTTACTAAAGAGAAGCGCGTTAACCCCGGTGCAGCCCCACTTGCATTCACACGGCAGTTTCTGCGGCCGTGCAATACGATAACAATACAGAAATAAAACATACGCATGCGTAACGTGTACTTCCTTTTCCCCGCCTTGTTTGTGACATATCGATAAACCATGGTTTATACTTCTCCAGACAAATCAACGCTGTGGTCTATCAGACACCGTAAAAGGATGAGAGAAGAGAGAAAGGAAAGATGACGGAAGTACAACAGAGCACGAAAGCAATGCATTCAATACTCGTATTTAATGTACTCTTCTCATGCGTAGTGAGTCTACCCCTGTAGCGTTCACATGTCCCATTTTATATCGGTGCTGCCTTGCAAACTAGCATTTACTCCGGAGTAAATTTTTAAACCACCTTCTGAGCAGAGTTAAACTTGCTCCGGTTTAAGCTGTTTTCAGGGGCTACACCGGTATAACTTTGTACGTGTGAATGCTCTATGGGGGGCAGCACCGGTGCTAAACCGGAGTAAAAGTTGCCGTATGAACACACCTATAGATGCAAATTATGTACAGGATTTAATACCTTCATCTTGTCAGATTTGGAGTAGATGTCAGCCAGTTGCTGATAAACAGGCATGGGCTCACAGAACTGGAGGGCTCGCTCAAAAACTTTCTTGAGGCTCTCCTGGGTGCCGTACATATTTTCCAAGTTTAGCAGGGCAACCCACACGTTCAGTTTCTCCTGCTCCTCTCTGGACATTAAACAAAAAAAAACAGCATGTATACAAGCAAACAATCACTGAGAATTAAGAGTGTAAATAAACAGGGGTGCAGATAAATTTGATATGTTTCTCAAATGAGCATCAGAGTTTGATGATTGTTGCTATTTTTTTTTCTTGACCCATCGAGCTCATTTAATTTAAAGACTTGGAGCACATCTGGGCAAGGACTGTCATTAGTATGTGTACACGTCATTTAAAATAATTGAATCCACTTTTTCTGTTTTTATTTCTTAACTATAACAACATAATTATACCAGGCCTACACAACAGTCGCTTATTAGGACAATATAATTTACATTAAATTCATATAGAGCACAATTGAGTGCTCTATATGAAAAATGCCCGTTTGAAAAATTAACTGTCGACCTCTGACTTGCAGTACAGCACCCTGTGATGAGACAGCTAGGTTAGCACACTTCTCTCAGGCAGCTGTCTGTAATCCACTTTTTTTGCACCACGGCCCACTTTCATGTCAGGTCAATCCACAGCACAGTGACACTGAGATAAGTGTCTCGCCGGCAGCCCCTCTGCGACATGTTTGGTCAAAGTCACAAGGCGAATGGAGCTGGCGTATTACTGTGGAGCCAACCGAGTGAGGTCAGCAGCCATAATGGTTGTGCGTAGGTTACTATGCAACGTGCCGCAAGTGTCAACTTCAAAATACAAGTGCACGAACGAGTATTACCTCGCTGTGATTTTAAAGTTGGCCCTCGGAATCAATCGTGACAACTGACTTGACGTAGAATTGAGGGTGGCCTGATATTATTTGTGCCGAAATTGAGGTGACCGATTTAAATTTGGGGTGCGGTATTCAATTTCCAGTGTTTATGCGTACTGGCACACCCCGTATGTGCACCCCTGCATATCAAGTAAAACCCCCAATCTTCATCATAAATCAATATCTGAACAGAAATGCCAAAACAACAGGCATGACATATTTTATCAGAAGCAAGAACATTTTAAAAAGTAAAAAAAAAACAAAGGAAAGCAAACTTGAATTCTGGTAAAAAAAAAACAGTAACAGAAAAGGCGATGATAAGCATGGCAGAATTGTAAGCTTAGATGAGAGTGAAGTAGCGTTAAAGCAGAAAACACAAAAGTAATGACTATGAAGACACGCTGAAATTAAAAAATAAATACATCAGCTTATAGTACAAACGCAAGCAATGAAAACTATTTTCTTTCCATTGCCAGTGAGAACAGGTGGCCAAAATACCAAAGTTCTGTGTCGACATGGTCTAATCTTACCGGAAAGAAATGGTTTTCAGCGCCCTCTCTGCCACAGCGCGAGCCTGCTCAATCTGGGTGGCCTGCAGATGGTGAGCCATGTACTGGAGCCAGAGAATCGAGCTGTTGGGAGAAGCCAAGAGCAGACGCTCAAACGCTGCTGCATCCTGGGGCCTGAGTTGAGGGTCCATCAACTCCATCTCCCGCTGCGTCAAGGCTTTCTCCGCCACCTTTTTCTCCTGCTCCAGCTCATATCGAGACTTCTTCTGAGACTGACGAGGAAAGAAGTAGTGAGACAAATGTTGGAAGTTGCAACACAAAGTAAACAATTGCCTCACCTTGCTGTTGTGCTCATCTTGGTCCTCTCCATCACTTGAGTCCGCATGCATGTTTGCTGTCGCAGGCTTCAATGAGCTGAGGCCAAGATCCCAGGAGAACCCAGCTGCAACCTGCAGTCTGAAAGGGCCCGATGAACTGGAAACCTGTCGAGACATTTATTTATTTTTGCACGAATAAATAGGATGGAAATAAAACCAATGTCAATCAATTTGCTTACATTCACAGCAACCGGGTTGGTGTCTTTGGCTTCCTGATCCTCTTCCTCTCTGAAGTACACATCAACCCCACTGTCATTGTCTACAAGGTTTGTTTTCTTCTTCTTCTTCGTCTTCTTCTTTGGGGGCTCCGTCTCATTATTTTTCTGGTAATATCACCAAGGTTAAAGCAGTTAGGTATGCATAGCATTTCTGTTAAGAGAACAACTAAAGGGCAAATGCCGAGCATCTATGCTGAAATGTTTTCCAACTGTTTGGTTACCTCTTCACTTTCAGACAGTGAGCGTTTCTTTTTCTTTTCAAGGTTATACTTCTTTTTCTCCTGTCCCACGAGACGTAGTGGCAGATGGAGGGACTCTGGGAGGATGTCTGGCTTCCCAGTGTCCACGGTGAGCAGGGACAACTCAACTAACTTTTCTTTTCTGTTGATGCTGAAGAACAAGAACAGAAAAGGCTGCAGTGTTATTGGAGCACAAACTATTGTGCACACGGAGCCATACAAATGTAATATGTTTGCTGTAGCATTTCACACAGTCCGATCAAACCCAATTTATTGTGTGACAAGAAGCACTCATTGGAAACATCATCATGGATTCATCAAATACATGTGTATAATCTATCAATTCTTTTTTTTTCTTTTTAAATACCGCTTATCCTCAAAAAGGCCACAGTTGAGCGGGAACCTACACCAGGTGACTGACTGGATGAGAAGAGGGGTGCACCCTGGTTTGGATGCCAGTCAGTCCCCAAGAACATTTTGACAAACAAGCATTGACCCTCACTTTCATGCCTAAGGACAATTTTGAGTCTTCAATAAATCCAACATGTACGTTTTTGGAACAGCAGAGTTGTCAGTACGAGCCCTACTGATCTTGATCTCGGTTTTTGTAAAATAAAATTTGGCAAAAATGCTACTTGTATTCTGGAGCAATTTATGCTTTTTCTTTATAATGATGGATTTTTATAGTCTGGAGCGACCACAAATTACGAGAATTAGATACAATGCATAAAAGCAATGCTCAGTTTTGACTATGTGTCAGAGGTTTTCTGAGCAAACGTATTGTCGCACTACTTTGCAGTGTGTATAATTCATTTCACCTGATGATCTTTGTGGTGAGCAGGGTGCTGGGTGGAAGATGATTACAGAGGACTTTGTGGTTGTTCACAAAATACTTGGTGGACCGCTGAAGCTCGGCTCTCCCAGTGATGCTGTTTGACAACCTGGAAGAAGCAAAAAGTCGTCATTCATTTCAAGTCTTCAGTGAGCCATGACACGACACATTTAGTGCACGCTCATCGACGCTTCCCATGCAGTAGGGAAGCACCGTCTTACCTTATAAAGACCCCTTGCTCACTGATAGACTTGACAAAGCCTCTGATTAACTGGCCTTGTTGCAGATCTTTCAAGGAAAAAACCTCTGTGTCTTTTGCTGGCTTGGCCTGCTGTGGGTTCAACCTGGAGAAAGGGAACAGCAGAGAAAAGGTTACAAGTTCAGGACAGATCAACATTTTTGAGTGTATACATGTCAGATATCATACCTTGATGGTCGTAGCGATAAATGCCACTTGTCATTTTCAAATCCTAGAAGGTAACACCTGAGATAAAAGAACATCATTTAATGTGGCAGATCTATTACAACAGAAATGTGTGTGTGTATGTGTACAATGAATGGACATCTGTTGCCGCGGACGGCTGGACAGCAGAAGTATCAATCCAGGGATTACAGCCATTGTTTTTATGATTTAAAATAGCCAAAATTAAAGTTTGATGTCATTACACCGCAAAACTGAGCTGGGGTCTGGAGACTGCGAAGGTATACACATGTAGACACTATTTATGGCCTTTGTGGATTCCACATTAAATTGTATTCATTTTACAATTTACGTTTGGGTGAGTGGCTGTTTACTGAAATGCCACTGAGACTCTTACAAAATAGTGCAGCTTGTGCGGAACAGGCCAAAGCCTGATCACAGTTAGTCTGATCACAATTTAAACAGGGAGCAAAGCATGGTCTTGAACTAAATCGTGCACGGTTAAAATTGTCCCAATGCGAGTTCAAGTCTCTCTAGCAAACATATCTGAGTTTAGTTTGCTGCGTTGGTGCAACTTTTTTTTTTGCTTGTTATGTGTATTTTGGCTTGGAAACACCTTTCCGTGTCGGGACAACATATTGACGTCAAGATATTTTCAGATTAACATGCCTGTGCAAAAAAATATTATGCAACGCAAAGCAAAGATACAGCGCTGGACTACGCATGGGAGGGGGGGGGGGGCTGATTTTAGTCTTACCCAAAGCACATTGTAGAGAGCATAATTTTATGTATTTCATGTTTTGAAAGCAGCTACAGTGTTACTGAAAATCCAGTTCTGCTCATTTGTTAACATATAAACGTTTCATACTAAAATCTCCTCCATTTACTTCCTTTGGGCTTGGCAAAACTGTTAAACAGGGGCAAAATGATAGAGAATACTTTACTAGATACTGTACTCCAGAAAGAGCACACAGGTAAACAAAAAAAATAAATTTAATGGACATATTGCTCCATGTTGACATCAGATCAGTGAACTTTTTTTAAATGATTTGATCAATTTTTGAAGGAAACCCGGTGAGCTGGCTCCAATTTGAGTATTAAAAAAAATATTCAATTTGAAATTACTCTATTCATAATGCTAAAATCTCAAGAGATTACTAAAAAAAGGAAAGATTCCACATTCAACCATTTACGAGCCGGGTGGACCGCGCGGGGGGGGGGGGGGGGGGCTGATTTTAGTCTTACCCAAAGCACATTGTAGAGAGCATAATTTTATGTATTTCATGTTTTGAAAGCAGCTACAGTGTTACTGAAAATCCAGTTCTGCTCATTTGTTAACATATAAACGTTTCATACTAAAATCTCCTCCATTTACTTCCTTTGGGCTTGGCAAAACTGTTAAACAGGGGCAAAATGATAGAGAATACTTTACTAGATACTGTACTCCAGAAAGAGCAGACAGGTAAACAAAAAAAATAAATTTAATGGACATATTGCTCCATGTTGACATCAGATCAGTGAACTTTTTTTAAATGATTTGATCAATTTTTGAAGGAAACCCGGTGAGCTGGCTCCAATTTGAGTATTAAAAAAAATATTCAATTTGAAATTACTCTATTCATAATGCTAAAATCTCAAGAGATTACTAAAAAAAGGAAAGATTCCACATTCAACCATTTCATGATACTGCATGGTCTCTGAGACTAAAAGGTGGTGGCGGTCAAATACATTTGTTAAATAAGCATTGTATGCATATACTGTTGGTGCATTCACTGACCTCAGCAGCTGATCCTTGCTAAATGCAGCCAACGGGTTGGGCTTGTATGCATCAGCGAGATCAGTGATGGCCACAGTTCCTGTGCAACCAAACGGGAGTTTGACCACAAGGCCGAGGTGTGGCAGTATGCTTGTCACCATTCCTAAAGTGATACTGCCTGTCTGCAGTTCATGAATGCCTACAAAACAAACACACGGTAGCCCATCAGCCTTTTTCCATCATATAAGTATAGGATTGCTGAATAAGTTGTGCCCTACCTGTGAGTGACAGTAAGAATCGCTGAGGTTTGAGACTCATTTCGACCACTTTCGCCTTAACAGCCTGGCCAAGTTTGTACAATTTTTCAAGACGGCTGGAATCCTAAAATAACATTAAAAAAAAAAAAAGAAAAAAAATCAAGAAATATTAGGACAAAGTTGACATGAAGTAGTCTTTTTCATGTTTCTTTTGTCTGACAGCAGAAATTGATATCTTTACAGTATATAATTGTTGGTTTCATTGGTTTTTTTGTTTCATCTATTATACAGTACTGCATATTCGAGTGTGAATAGTTGACTATGTTTCAGTCATATAGCACCACCTGCTGCTTACGTGTGCACTTGAGAGCCTGCAAACACACGTGCCCAATTTTATACTGTATACCGATACTGTAATGACGTTTGTGAAAAAGATGTTTGTTTTGTTTTTTTTAACTCCCCAGTGGAATTTTATTTTAACAATAAACATATTAAAAAATACATTAAATTCCACTGATCAATAGTGTTAGGTATAACTTGATAGGAATAACTTACTTTCAGGTCTGTAATCATAGCCAGCAGTTCTACTGTCCCGGTGATGGAAAGGTCAGAGGTGACCTCCAAACTCTTCCTCTCTGGATGGAACTGCAGACAATTACAAATCCATTCACAGATCTCCGCTCAGCATTGCGGTAAGAGTATGTCAGACGCACAACTGTATAATTTTGCCTACCTTTGAAACAAAACATGTAATTTCCTCTCCAACCTTGTAACTACTCAATTTCTCTGCAGCCGTCACCGACTTGAGCTCCATTTTCCTGTCCAGTTTGCTATGAGAAAAATTGTTTAATGGCAACATGTGAAAAACTGTAATGGCAACACCAACAACACATTACATTCGAGCAATCATGCCACTGTCAAAACGGTAACGATCAGTCATTTACCTGGGTATTAGTGTTAGCTCAGGTGAGGTGTATGTTAATCTTGGCTGGGAAATAGGTAATAATCTAAAGAAAACAAAGAACAGATCATATATAATTGAAAAAAGAAGCTTTAAAGAACTTTCGAGAATGTGAAAAAAGTAATAAAATTAATAAGCAGCAGTCACCCGTTACTGTTGACTTCTCGTCTTCCAATGACCCTGCCGGTGACAACACTGCCCACTTTAACAAAAGACGTGGGGAAGGATCCTTGTGACACCTCTGTAGCCTCCATCACCTCAGACACGTGCACAAAGCCCGTGCTTCCATCCTCTAGTTCAACCTGAATGTTGGTAGGCTTCACTGTCCGTACTTTCCCCTGCACAATTTCTCCGAAGCGGTAACCAGTGTCAGAATCCATTTGGTTTTCTGAAACGGTTCGCAATCTTTTGGGTGCAGCACGCTTCCACGACAATAGAGGGAGCCCTTGCAGTTGCTCGCAGCTGGGTTCAACGACTTCAACGGTCAAAAGCATTCCTTCCCTCAGCTTGACCGACTCTGGTAGAATGACCTCATTCAAGTGGCTTTGAGTTTGAATAAAAGTCAGCTGAGCAGTGTCTTCCACAGAGATGATGGCTAAGTCTTTGTCAATGTGCTGCAAAATTGCAGAATATTTGCTCTCTTCTGAAAGCTGCAAACACACACACACACACACACACACACACACACACACACACACACACACACACACACACACAGTTACAGTCCGTGATATTTCATGGCCGGTTATTTATTTATTTATTTTTTTGTGTTGGGGGTTAATCTTTGCATGTGTGCAGTAGCTCTCCCATGCTCTTTGCTGATTGGTTGCCCTAGTTAGCAACTTAGCTGACCAATCATTGCAGGGGAGAGTGAGCCCAATTAGTTTCAGGTGGGCCACCACTTGCAAAGATTAACCACCCACTGTTTAAATTACAGGGGTCTCAAACTCCGCACCTCGAGGGTCGCTTTCCTGCATGTTTTCCATCCCTCCCTGCTGCAGCACCCCTGATTCAAATGATCAGGGTCGTTATCAGGCTTCTGCAGAACTTGCTGATGAGCTGATCATTTGAATTTGGAGTTTGAGACCCTTGTGTCATCTTGTTGTTTGTCAGCCCCAGTCCCTCGTGTGTCCTAGGTACCACTGTGTCTCGATTAGTGCAGCCAAACTAGTTCCTCACCATGGCCATCATCCTTCCAATTCATTCGTGTCCATTTTATTCATTTGGGTTTTAGGGAACTTTGCCATAAATCGTTTGTGTTCATTCATTACCAGTATTTATTCGGGCTGCACTAAGGCAGTGGGAATTCTGCAATGTTTACTCCAATCTCGTCCTATTGTGTCATGTGTCCCTCCTCGTGATACTCTAGTTTAGGAGTGTCTAAACTTGGTCCTCAAGGGCTGCTGTCCTGCCTGTTTTCCAGCTCTCCTCTGCAACAACCCTGATTCAAATAATCAGGATCGTTCTAATACTGCTTCAGAGCTGGCTGATGAGCTGATCATCTGAATTTGGTGCGTTGCAGCTGGGAGAGCTGGAAAACAGGCAGGACAGTGGCCCTCCAGACCCGCAGCTGAACATACCTGCTCTAGATGGTCCAAACTATGGTAGCGCACCAGTTTCTGCTCCTCTACAACTCCCAGACCTACGGTTGACACTTCCTCAGTTGGAAGGGTCATAACACCCAGCGATTGGAAAAGATCCAAATGAGAAGCCAAGCCTTGTTTTAATACATATGTATCATTCCCTCATCATTGTCATTGGAAAAAAAGCAGTCTGTGTATTCGAAAACAATTAAACCACATCTAGCATGCGGCTGAAGGCTAAGCTTAGGGTTGAGTAGTAAGCGGGAGGGAGAGAGTCTCCTGGAGTACATAGTGGGAACTGGAAATACTTTGTACATCCAGATTTAGTGTTCTTTCGTATATCATAGTACATTTATGTAAGACAAAGTGACTTACCGTTTTCTTTTTGGTAACTAACTTGGAAAGGAGTGACACATGGACAGTGGCAGACAGGATGTCAACATAAATAACAACTGCAGTAACCTTCTGTCCTGGGGTCAACTGAATCCCTGCAACAAAGAGAGAGCAAGAGATTATCAAAACGTGTGGTTTCTCAACATTTAAATCATTTTATTTTGAAACGCAGGCATTGAAAACAAGCAACATCTTTATTGCAACAGTGATTACCTTTACATGCAGTCAATAACCTTTTCAAAACCCAAACATTGCCAATATTTGGGTTTTGAAAGGCCATGTAAATGCGCATGTAAATAAAAGTTTAAAATACTGTGCCATGTCATGACTGTGTACCAATTTTGATTTTCCACCAAAACCCCATTTTATATCATTATGTTTGAAGCCTGAAATGTGGCAAAAAGGTAAAAAATTTCAAGTGAGGCTCATACTTTCACATAGCCCTATCAGATGATATCTATCATACAGTGTTAAGACTTAAGGATTAAAAACATACCTATCAAATGGTATTTGTTGGCCCGTATGGTGGCACCAACCAATTCATCTGACTTGAAGGTGGAACCATCGCCATCCTTCACTGTGTCCACAGCCAACTTCAGCCTCTGGCCAACAGACAGAGCAGCAAGCTGCTGGTAAAGATCCCCGGCTTCTGAGGAACAACACAGAGGTGAGACATTTAACACAAACTTCATATTAAGACTCTAATCAATATAAGTCAACAAAAGCTCACAAAAACGCCAATTTTGGGGACCTTTATGATTCGTTTTTTAAATTATATTTTGGCCCTTGATTTACCAGCCTTTCATAATCCCACCCCTATTCTGGCCAACATCCCACTACCCCCCCCCCCCACCACTCCAAGTGAAATCAGAATGAAATACAGAGAATGTGTCTAGTAAAGCATTTTGATAAAACATCTTTCAAACTGTTTTCTTATATACATTTTCTGATTTGGGTTATGGCCACCAAATACATTGCAGGCTTATTTTCCACGCAAGGCTAGACAGTTCACAAGAATTGCATAACATGGTTATATCACATACACGAGACAAAACGTCCCACCTTTCAGGGCAATCATTTCAGTCGCAGCTCGTCTTTCTTGCACAGCATGAATAAGTCTAGTCTGGGCAGATCCTTCTGGCAAAGTGACTTCAGAAATTTTCAGTGTGACCAGGAATCGCTTCTTCTCTTCATCCAAATTTGTCACCTTAGCAACCACCGTCTGGCCCACGTGGAAGGTGGTTGTTGTATCAGCAATGAACTTATCAGACATGGCCTACAAGTGCGCAGACAGGAAAATGCAGCAGTTGGCACAACACAGATGGTCTCAGAGGAGGAAAAGGAAAACATTCCCTGCCAATGACGACCCATCACTCACAGACTTTGGTGCAAGACCAATAAGGCCGTATGGGAACTCGACAAAGACGCCATAGGCCATGATGTTCTTGACCCAGCCAAACATCTGCATTCCAACTGTGATCTCTGAGAATTCCTTAGCGGCCACTCCTTCCTCCAGTGACCAGATCACCATTGGCTTCTTGGTGACAGCCTAGGAGAGAAACTTAAGGAAAACAAAAGGCTACTCTTGGCACATTAAAAAAAGGTCAGTAAAAAAGCATAATCTTCAACAAATATCAAAGCCTGGCTGAGGTTATATATTTAGTTCCAATAATAAACCAGGATACAATTTTATTCTTATTCTGGAGAAAGCAGACGAGGTTTGAAATGGTGTCTCCCTCCTGCAGGGCCTCCCACAGCAGAGAACAGTTGGACACAAGATCTGAGAGGTGCATGGTGGGTAAGAGGGCAGGAACCCCATTGGGAGTAATGGACACTTCCAGACCATTGACCGACTTCTTTAGCACCTTGGCCTCCAATCTCTACAACATAGGCGGAAAGCAAAACGCATGGAGCAGGAAAAAGAGTTGTTTCTAGTATCTATTACATTGGATTTAGAAATAAATATTTCTTCCTCTTTAAAATCACTCTATTCTGCATGACAAAGCAGTCAAACAGTTGTAGTTGTTCAAGTACACTTGTGGATATTCTCATTTAATCAGGTCATTTCAATCTCAGGGTATTGATTTGATCGCAACTGGATTGCTTCGACTGACGAAAAGAGCACTCCTGTTGTGATCAATTCAATGGTGTTGAAATAGCAATAAACTAATGCTTGAAAAAAATATATAAATAAAGTTTAGTGTGTTAAACAGCATCCTAAAGCAATTCCCCACTGAAAATTCATTGTCCTTCATTCAATTAGGCAACGTGTATAAACATAAATAGCGCAAATATCAATGGCATCTGATTCCCTGACAAAAAAAAAAAAAAAAAAAATGCAGACCAATTCCACACAATTTCAATTCTTTTATTTTACTGTTAGGTGTCCCGAAATAATCTTTTGGCAGTGTTCACTATTCAACAAAATGTTTTGACAAATAACCTTATATAAAGATAATACACAATTTTGGTGCACTACTGTTTGGGATTTTTTAACTATTAAATGTTTTACATAACCTCTGACTTTGAGCAGCAGTTGATTACCAGTACATTTTTCCTTATCGGGGAGATTGGACATTGCAGTCGTTCTACTTTTATTGGAATGTTAAAATATGCTGCTGGCCGCAGCTATTTTTGCTTAGCAAATTCGCAATAGGAACGCAGATCATTTACACCATATTACATACTGGGTTTCATTTACTATCTAAGTCGAATAAACAAATGGGATGTGTGTGGGTTTAAAATTCAGTTTGACCGATCAAATGTCACTTCTATAACAGCTGTTTTAAAGACAAAACATGTAACATATCTTTCCCACCTCACAACCAAATTGGGCCTTTCCCATTTCTTCTGTGTCGCCCTCCGCTGCAGGCTTAAATGACAGCATCATCTTTTCCTTCTCTGGATCACACTGCAGAACCCTTGCCCTCAACACCTTCAAAAAGGAGACATGAGCTTTTTTTAAAAAAAATTTAAAACTGTTCCAGGGTATCTTACTTAACTTGCTTTCTTCAATAAATTTATAAAAGGATCAATTTACAGAAATATTTGTACATATTTCTAGCCACAGTGAAATTAGCTCATTTTAGACGCGGATTTGTCTCCTGCGATGAGCCAGCCCTCATTCTGCTGCGGCAACAGTGAGTTCAGTCTTCTTTTTCACCTCGCTTGGCGGCAAGTGTTTGCAGCTGCTGACTACTTACGTCTACTCGCGAAAACAGAGCTCAGAATATGAAAAACAAGCTAGTGCCCATAGCATAAAGACTAATAAATGCATTTTATCTAATGGACACAACAGTTCACCCTGAATAATAAACTAACACAGTTGTAACTCTAATCTGTGCTAACACTGCAACTCTGCATTCTTTTGAATTTGTAGACATGATATGGCCCCGTAAAAGTGGCACTTTCAATCTGGAACTGAAGCCAGCCAAGGAGATCTTGTCATTGGATGAGAAACTTAGTGTGGGGGTGGTTATTAGGTGAATGGCTTAAGTGTACCGCTCATAAAAATAAATACACACATACATATTTTTCTAAAAATACTTAGATTTTAAAAAGAATTTTTTGGTCCCTTAACATCAGAGAAAGTGTCTTCTCATGATAATTATTTATTTTAGATATTGAGCGCTGCATGCAGGAAAGCCATAAACAGGAAATGTCTCAACTCTCAAAAGCCAACTGTGAATGAATGGCTAGACATTGTTGATGAGATATTTATGATGGAAATAATAACTGTTAATCTAAGGCTTGAAAGGTTGTGTTCTGCAAAAAATGGGAGAAGTGGCTGAATGTTTCTGTGATTAGACCGTGATTTACATAATCTTATTTTCCTTATTTTTCCAATTTATTCTTTTATTTGGAGCACTGTATGATACACACAAAAGGTTATTGTTCTGTATTTTGAGTGCCTAAATTTTGGAGGCATGTGAAGATAAGATCCTTTTAAAGATGGATTTCATTTGAGATGTGTATATATGTTTAAAGGGATAACTGTGGCACGTATGTGAGATGTGTACGCATAGTTGGTTTGGATCTGTGAAAACTAAATAAAAACAGAATTACCCCAAAAAATAATTTAAAAAATCATGAGGTGACTTAATTTCACGTAGCAGAGACTCTAGAGACCCAACTATTTGTATTAAAAAACTGATTTATCATGTCTCCTTTAATCAAAGGACAAACGATATAATGTACTTTCTAGCTGAAATATAATGGCATTGCAGCTACACATCATAAGAGCTCACCTGACCAACATAGAAGACGTCCTCAGGGTTGACGATTACTTCAGAGCTGAGTTCATTGACTGGCACCAGGCCCTTAACATTGTTGTAGAATCGAACGACGCAGCCAAAGTTTTTGACACTGACAATGTAACCGTGGGACACTCGTCCAGGACGAGCATCATCATAGCTAAGGAATAATGGCAGGGAGCTTTCGATGAGGGCCTTCTTTCGGGTCAAATACAGCTTTTTGTTATCTACGTCCACTGAGAGCACCTGAGGACATGAAGAGCAAAATAAAACTCAAGACAACTTTTGAAAGATGACACATCCGATTAACAGGAGGTTTCCTGATGTCGATAATGGACTGACCCGACATTTGACTTTCATGCCCTTTGCATACTTCTTCTCAGGGTTCTTTAAGACGATGCCTGATAGGTGGGTAGAAGGCACCAGCCCTCGAATGTGGCTCGACAAGTGCACCACCATGCCACGATTCAGCAGGACAGACACTGTCCCCTTTAAGGGAGAGACATGTAAGACTTGGTTACTAGACAAAACAACAGGATATCAAATTTAAGTAACAGCAAACAGGACATCACTTATTTCAAAATTACTTTCAAGAATGTTCCGTTATCACCACTTCCATATAAGTACAATTTTTCAACCTGTACATACTTTTTAAATGCAATAGTATAACTGGCATGACAATTGTTATATTTTGTAGATAACTGCCAGTACAAGGTGTTGTGAAGGGGACTAATAATAGTGAGGACAACTTAGGGACATGGTTTAGATCAGTGCTTTTCAAAAAGTGTCAAGTGTGCGGATACATGATTGGTGGGGCACTCCAACACCAAGATGCCAAAATACACTTGAAAATCATAAACCCCAACACCACGTTGAAAACTTCCAAGTACGTAATCGTCATGTGATGTAATGTAGTATGTGCTGCTTATCAGCCCATGTAATGCACTTTATTTTCAAATAATTTGGGATCGAATGTTTTTATTTAATGGACAAAAGTGATTTATAAAACCAATGGAAAATAAAGTAACAAATATTACTTTATTTTTGATTTTTTTTAATTCGAAAAAAGATTTAAAATCATGATAGGTTCTGAACTCTGAGGTTTTTTTCCCCCCATTGCACCCCTCCTCAACACTATTCTCACATCTATCTTCAAAGAGAATCACTCAAGAGTTTCTCAAGAAAGTATAGTGGTATATCATCTGCTAACAGTAGACACATTATATTTCATCCAAGTCTCAGTACATACCTCTACAATCTGACCAGCCTGAAGATCAGAGTATCGAAAGAAGGTTCTTTCAATCACAGTCCTGAAAATCAAGTGAAATCAGTTGGACGCTGACTGACAAAGGAGGCATGATGCAAAGAAAGATTTCACATACTTGCGTAGAGTAGCAAAATGAATTTGGTCAATGGGGCTGAAATCAATTATCCTGCAAGTGTGCTTGGGTAAGGCGAGTACTTTGTTCTCATTAGCTGGCTCATTAAGCTCCTTCAGGTTATTCCTCTGTCAGAAAGAAAAACAATGTATCAGGCAAATTCAGGTGAGTTTTTTTTTTAAATCCAATAATTAGTGTATACAGTATGAAATTGTCATGATTGCTACTCACATGTACAAATGCGAGAGTTTTGTCAGGCAGTTCCAATACAGCTCCAGACATGACGTGCATAGAGGCTATCTTGCAGTCCTTCACCACCTCACCGACTCGGTCACCGCAGGCAGGAATGGTATTCATTCGAGTTTCAGGTTGGACTATGTGGTCACGCAAGCTTAGTCCGACCAAGCGGGTGGATGGCTCCAGATACAGCACACGGGCCAGCATCTACACGATTGATGCAAAAATACACAACGCAAAAGGTACGAAAATGAAGACATACAAATGTCTAACCTGAATTGAACATCTAAACCTAGCTGGGCAAAGCATGGAGAGGTTGCCACTAGTGGAGACAACAGTTGAAATTTCTTCTAAAAGTAAAAATTGCATTGTCGTAAAAGGTCATAGAATTTGTATGTATTGTTCTCACAAGAAGGACCCTTCCTTACATTGCTTCCCTTATTGTAATGAGTAGCCATCTCTTGCTCCATGTGAAGTATGTCCACCTGACCACGGAAGGAGGACAGGAAGTCCATGAGCAGTCCGTTTCTGGTCACCTGCAATACAGGCTTGTATGATTTCAGCACTGTCAAGAGTTCATTTGTCATCATACATGGTCATGGATTTATGTATACAGACAGTTCGGTGTAGTGAAACTTGAACAGATTTTAAGGGTATATTTTTTTGAAGTTTTAACTTCAGTGTTGCTTGATGGGAGCTTCCATGGCGAGAGGTGTGTTTGGTCCACTCGTGAGGATCTCATCCTGTGGATTCCCTGGACCCAGGGGCTGGGGAGCTACGCACATCGTAATGAGTTTATCCCTGTGTACCTGGGTCAGAGTGGTCTCTGTGGCGGTATCCTCTGTGGTTACAGACTGCTGCACCTCTCGGTGTGGATTGCTCCCACAGAATGTTTTCTTGCCTGACCTTCAGTGCCTTGCCGTGTCTCCCTACTTTCACTAAATATGCTTCGTGTGAATCCGTGTACGCCGTGGGTGGGCGAGTTCTTATGTGTGTATATGTGTTTACATATAGAGATGGGAGGGGTGGGTTTACTTTCAATTGATTGTTTTTATTTCTGCAAAGCATTTTGTGTTGCATTTTTAATAGATGAAAAGTGCTCTCCAAATAAAATGTGGTGCGAGAATGTTGACACCACAGATTATCCAAAACTCTCCCTACCTTTCTGACTGTTGCTTTAACAAGAAGTCCCGGAAGAAGGTTAGTCAAGGTCCATCCTTGTTTGGATTCAGCAAGAGCTCGGCCAACAGCCAAGGATTTGGCGCAGAGTCGCAATACACGTCCATCGTTCTTCACTTCTTTTATTTGACAAGTCAAATACTGGCCCACTTTCAGCTCTGGAAAGAAGAAAAAGACTATTGTCACATCGGTGACTTTGAAAAGGAATTGCAAGAGAAAGGGAGAGGATAAAACAATCCCTATTTACAATACCATTGATACTGTTCTGTTTATCTTTGTCAGCTTTCTTTGGCAGGAAGGCTTTGGTTCCATTGACACCAATGTCAACTATGCAGCCATGATCTTCAAGGCTCTCAACACATCCACTCAACACCTGAGACAACAAACAGTGACAACTGTTGAATTGTGACAAAGGGATTCTGGGGTAAGAGGTTCTGACTTCTGACTTGCCATGTCAGCTTTCAGAGCACTTGATGTGAGCGCGCTGTTGACGAGTTTTGGATTGACTGAGAGTTGGATGCTCATTTTGCCTCCTCTGGTGGTGTCCAACTTTGCAACTACACATCTCAACATCATGCCAGTATAGAAGAGGTGTGACAAAGCACAAATGTCCTGCCAGAAAAAAACCAAGACAGTTCTGTTACTTGAATCCACAGAACAAATACTCAAAGGGTGTTCATGATTTTTTTTTCTTTTGTCTGACAGGTCAACATGCACACAACACTCAATGAGTCCAAACCAGGAGTGTGCGTACACCTAGGGGTATGTTAGCCCATGGCAGGGGGTATGTGGAAAAATCCAATAATTGATTTGCTACTTTGCCAAAATCACAACAGCTGCATGTCAGCTGATATTCTCATCAAAGCTCGGATGACCGATGAAATGAAAGTCAAACTGCTTGTTTTAATTTAATTTACAAAAGATTTATTTTTAATGTCACGTATTTGTTTTTACTTTTAATTTGAGTTAAAAAAGAAGACAAGGCCTAAGAATGTTCACATTCAAGGGGAAAAAATTCAATTTCATAATCGGTTACGTTCTGCTTTTAGAAAATCATCAACATGTATGAGTGAGGGGGTTCGGCAATGACAAAAAGGCTCGGAGTAACAGAAGGCAAAAAGGGTTCAGAGCCACTGAAATACAGTTTAACTACCTCATCAGTTGAATCCAGTTGCTCAGTGAGTAGCTTTGTGTATGAGTCGCAGATGTTTCTAATGCTGAGGAATCCTTGTAGACCACAAGGGAGACCAACAGTCACCTCAAAGTCTGAAACATCTTTCACACAACCCAGCATCAGCATGCCTTCCTTTACATCCTGTGAAGAAATAGCACAATATTAAAAAAAAAAAAAAAAAAACTAACGGTGACATTTTGCAATTATCATAAGGGGTGAAACAGTCTGCCCAAAATAATTGTAAATAGATTAATTTTGTGTTTGCGGTTTGGGCCACATTCAGTGCAGGGAAAGAACAAACTGAAAAACGAACCGCTTATGTTTTGTCTGACTAGATTTAAGTGGCTGAATTTAACAAAACCTTTTTTCCCCAAAGAAAAGTTCAACACAAAGAGTTTGGCTTCTTTCAAGGAAATACAGTGGTATACAGTATACAGAGGATACAGTGATACCTCTACTTACAAAATTAATTGGTTCTGGAAGAAATTTTCTGAACTAGAAAATGTAAGTAGAGACACTTTTTCCATCAAAACGCTCTAATCCGTTCCAAGCCCCTCCCCCCCAAATTCAGACATAAATGTTTTCTAAAGCATAAAAATGCATCAAAATATGTAACAAATACATGTTACAATTAGATTATTACACAATATATGAGAGTTGTGCATAATGTAAAAAACAAAGAATAAAGAACAAAAATGGTCATTTAACTTCATACTCAACATCTTTTGCCCTCTTTAGTTCATGTTCTCTCTCAGAAGTTGTTTTTGCCTGGTGTTTTGTAAAGAACTGATCCAAGGACGTTTGCTTTTGTCGGCTTTTAGCAATACTTCGAAAATGTCCAAGGCAAACATCAGCATAGTGAGCGATCGCCCGATTGGTGAACACTTTTTCTAGGTGATTCACATTTACGTAAAACTAGCGGAATGCCACATGGCCCGAGGGACAAATGACGAGGACGCTGCATAGACACACATCTATCTATTCATCTATCTACAGACAGGCATACGGTAAAGGTCCCTCTCAGCCAATGGGATGCCAGGATGGTGCTCCGTGATAGCCAATGGCAGAGCAGCTAGAAGTATGTTGCGCTCAGGAAACTCGGAGCTGCGACGAGGAACCCATACTGTATTTTTACCTTTCGTAGCTTGAAATTTCTTTCGTAACAAGGGGCGATATTTTCCTGCTGAGGCATTTCGTAACTTGAAAATTTCGTATGAAGAGATTTCGTAAGTAGAGGTACCACTGAACAGAAGTGTAACAGTAACATTTTGAACAGTATTAATTTTTGCTCCATATGAAGAACAAACTGCTTTTTAAATGTCACAACCAATTGGGCTGAGCTGAACTATTTGTTTAAAGTGTAGGTGTATAGCTAGAGCATGAGGCGGTTACATTTCTTGGTCCTTTTATAATATGTGTCATGTGGAAAACTTTTATAGTCGCTCCATCGTATTGAATAATTGCCCCTGAATTTGGTCAGTATCATTTTTACGAATAATTTTCAGAAATAGTGGCAAGACTTCACGGGCCACATAAATTACTTGGAGGTCTGCATCTGGGATGTGGACCCATCAGTTTGACACCGGAGCTATATTATCTAATTCTTCAGCATTCCTTATCCTTTTCTTTTAGGAATGTATATTGTCCTGTTGTAATGTGTGTGACTTTCCTTAATTGTGTTTTTACCTTACTATGTAGTATTTCCACACACTCTGCATCCGCATTTAGAGTCAGGCCATCTCCTTTCGCCACAGCAGTCTTTTGCTTCTTGAATTTCTTATCTTTGATACCCCCCATCCATTGCTCAAATTCTTCTTTTTCATTAGACTGCAGTAAAGAAACAAATTACTTAGAGCAAGGGAAAACTAAACAAGCAGCTTGAAAAGTGAAGAATTGGAAAGAAAGCAAGCATAGCAAGTGGAACAATTTCAAAGGAATGTAAACTCAAGTGGCGATTAGCGAGGATGTAGTCTTTTGCATGACATGCCAGCTCTGAATAAAAGGGAGATCAACGATACCTCGAACAGGTTGTCCACTTCAACCTGTAAGTCTATATTATTTCCACGAGCCTTCTTAACTGCCCCACCTCGGGGGAAGTCCTCCTCAGTTGATGCCATGTCTTCTTTTTCAGTTTTCTACGAAACAAAATAATGCTCACATCATGACACTTGCAACTCCGAGTTGACTTGATAATCAGTCTTACGAAACACTACAACGGGTTTATTAAACGGAAGTAATCACATTTAAAACACATTTCTATGTGGTTTAATGTATTCCATACCACTACTACCCAGTGTGATACATCAGACACTGCGTCCTAGGGTATGGTCAACACGTGGAAAATACGAAGATATTACATTCAACATTATACGTAATATATAGTACAAAACAATGTTACATGTGAATTTAACATATAATAGGTGCTGCGACCTGTGGTCCAGCGAAGTTTGCTCACAGTAAAGCGCCGTTTGTAGATTCAATAACTCACATGTTGTTCAGCACGCCATAACAATGACCCGGAAGAAGAACTCGGTTGGTCAGACCATAGCCTGGCAAATCACAAACAAGTGTGAATTATTGACATTTCATTTGGCCATTCAGTGATCGTATTTATGATGAGTTTATTACGCCATGGCCGTAGACCAATAGTGACAAAGAATTTATCAACACTAAGTAGGCGGGACTTCCTTTCAATTCCAGCTTGGAGGCCTGAGTTGAAGGGCACAGTCTGCACGGAATCTCCTCAAGGTAAGATTTTCACAATTACATCTTGTGCTCGTTTACCTTGCATTGGTAACTGCAACAGTGTCATTTTAAATGCGTACGTTTCCATCCCACATTTGGCTTGCATAATTCAACATGGACAAAGTGTTTGGAGCCGTAATATATTCTTTAGCTAATGATAATGCTATATAAACGGCTCACGGTTAGCTTCGTGTGCTCACAAGCGAGATTGACCAACCTGTCAATGTCAGACTGGATGAGCCGCGGTTGCAGTCCTTCACCAACAGGAAAGTATAGCATTAGAATAGGCGTAAAACAAACTCTCCGAAAAATTGCAGTACTGTAATGCCTGTTTCTGTACCTCACAAGTTCAACTGGGTAATTTACTCACTAATCACACGCTGCTTGTGTCTGAGTGTCACATTCATGAATGATAGAATTTATTGCTCTTTCCCCTTCACCCTGATATAGGTTCACTTATCCATCATGGGAGGTCATGACGCAGGATCCCAACACCAGTTCACTGGGTTTGCCAAATACTTCAACGCATACACCATGGTTGGCAGGAGAAATGTAAGTCAACAGTAACTAGACTCACAATTTAATCTATTCATTTATTTAATGAATTACTACTTCCTTTGTAGTGCGTTTTGGCCACGTATGCTAGCCTAGCAGCAATTGGTCTCTTTTTTAAATTGAAGCCGAAGAAACAAGCCGCAGTCACGGAGAAATAACGTAAGTACACGATTTGACAAATCGTCTTAAATATACATCGACATACTTTTGCATCAATGAACTGTGATGTGCGTCTCTTTTACAGACATACAAATGATTTTTGCCTGCTGGGAGTGGAGAAGGCAGCTGGATGTGCTTGTAAGATCATAACTGTTTGTTTTCCCTATGTTAACAATAAAGACCATTAATGCCCAAAACATAAAAACACTTTTATTTACATGTTTATCTATTAAAAAAAAACACTATAATACAAGAGTGGTAGCCACATGTTGAGCTGTACTTGTAATTAATTCTAACATGGTTTTCGGTTACAATGGCACCGTATTAGGACAACATATTTAGGTCCTACATGACGGTCACATTTAAAAATTGATAAAGAATAAATTTCCTATTCATCATTAGATCTTTTCACACTGTCCAGAGGTATTTCAAACTCAGTTCAGTAAAAGGTCTTATGGGTTGTAGCCACCTGCTGCCAAGAGCAGATTTCTGCGGGTGAAGTGAAGGTGTAGGACAGGTGAGGATTTAGTTGTGTAGCAGCCAAGCAGAAGCTCCTGTGAGTTATCTTGTAAATGAATGTGTCCTGTGGTTGCAGTGAAGTCGTCCGTCTCCAAATCATCAAATGCTTTCATGGCATCCCACAGGCGAACCGTGTTATCCATAGAGCCTGGGAGACACAAGACACTTGAATAGCTAGGTGTATTTCAAGAAATACACCACACGTATAAATGTATAGTATAGAAACGTTCATCCCTAAACAAGGAGTTGAACCCTAAAGTATCACATTTATTTTTCAAATTTACGAGAACCATTTCTCAATGGGAAACTTGCACTGCGCTGTATATTTGTCAAACATGCAGGCATGCAACGAGAGATGTCCGAGTGAAAGTGGTGTGAAAACAGTGCTGCACCTCTTGATTTAGAACAGGGTTGGTGCCTTCCTAAAGGGCACCTTGACAGTGGTTAGGAAGCAGACAAGACATCTCTTCCAACAACTACTGTCGGTGCCAATTTTTTTATTTTTTTACATATTTTGGATAGTGACTCAAACTGTGACTCTCCAGTCCTTACAGATGAGCTTTTAGCAAACCATTTATAGATCCAAGTGCCAACTCTTCATTACACGACACAAGAGCTGCAGCAGTTAATCGAATTATTTTTTTATAATCTATTAATCATTTAGAGACCTTGATTGATTCAAAATTGTCCAAAGCCTCAGAAATTCAGCCTGTCAACAGGAAACATTGTCACATTTTTGTAGTCCTCCAAGAAAGCAGATTGATTATCTTATGAATGACTAATGAAACATTTGCAAACAGCAATTAAAATTGTTTCCGTTTCCGATTTTTTACGGACCAAACCAGTAACCGAATCATAATTTGTGCGTTTTCTACATTGTCAATTTCAAACAATGTTCTGTTTTTGAATGAAGCGATGGAAAAAATAATAATAATGTGATTGAACCAATAATTGGCAAAATTATGTACAGATTAATTGATTAATACAATAATCATTAGTTGCAGACCGACACAACACAAAATCAGAATGAACATACTTTTGTATTGGCTGGATGGAGCATGCTATAGCTGTCTTGTACATACACAACTACAGTGAATTACGCACCAGAGGCAAGAATTTCACCATCCCTGCTGAACTTGAGAGAGTAGATGGTGTCTGTGTGGCCTTTGAGCTCTCCAATCATGAGTCCGTGACCAATGTCCCAAAGAAGAACTCTACCGTCAGTGGCCCCCGAAGCCAAAAACTTCCCGTTGGGAGAGAATGACAGAGCATGGATTGGGCCCTAGAAGATTCAGTACAAATATGTTAGACTTCCCTTTGGCACCTCATTGTTGCTGTGAACAACATCAATTTACTGTATGGACCTCACTGTGTAAGACACATCAGGGACATGTTCAACAAATTAAGAATGTTAAAATGTTTACCTTGTGACCTGTGAAGATGCGAACACAGTTCCCGTTCAGGACATCCCACAGGCGGATTGTACGATCAGATGAACCCGTGGCCACATAATTAGAGTTGGGGTGGAAGCGGGTGCAAGTGATGTCCGCCAGGTGACCAGCGAACATCCGCAGAGGCTGATGGTGATCTGTAACCCATAGACTGAAGGAGGCAGATAGTAGATACAGATAGAGAGATGGTTTATTCATTTCGTGGACACCATGTGTTTGGCAATGTTCTGCACGATTGACACAGGATGCATTTATTACAGTTTTCTCAATGTTTTATCAAATAATAGTGTATATGGATCAAACGTAAGCGTTTGATCCTTATACACTATAATACTTCTGAGGATGTGGAAGACATGGTGTAAAATCACTGGGGTAACAGTATGTAACACTGTCGACAGAGTTGGGTATTTTAGGTACCTAAAATGTGGATCTGTACACCTGCTACTTCAAAGTTTCACACAAACAGGTTGCTCTTCAAAATTAGTGAGGCAAGCAAATCTCAAATCTTACCGGGCAACTCTGTCATGACCCCCGGAGACAAAATAGTAGCCATGAGGGGAAAACTGGGTGTCCCACACAGGGTAGTTGTGACCTTTGTAGCCCACCAGACAGGTGAAGGTTTGAAGACTCCACAGCCTCACCGTGCCATCTTCAGAGCTCGACAGCAGGTAGTTCCTAAATGTGCACGTCAGTCGTCACTACATTGATATGCTGCTCATCTGTTCCGTGCTGAAGCAGATCATTCAGGAGAGCATGTGATCCATGCAGCAAAAGCAGGTGGAGAACCATTGTTTTTTTTTTTTACCTGTCCGGGCTGAAGCTGATTCCATAAACGGGACCGCTGTGCCCGTACAGGAGCTTGGACTCACTCGCTGTCTTTTCATCCATGATCCTCTCCAGCACATCGTCTGACTCTTTATCAATCAGGTTTAAGTCTTAAACAAGAGAAACAACATCAAGTTGGACAAAGTGCTGCTTGATGATGACAATCCTTGTTTCAGAAGTTCACCAAAAAAAAAAAAAAATCCACACAGCACACATCATTGTAAATGGCAAGAAATCCTCATATTCTATGAATAAAACGTTTTTTTTTAAAGCTGTCTAATGTAATCTCATTTAATGTGAATACTATTTTATTTGTTGGTAGGTAACATTGTTCCACATGTATCTAATACAAGGTAATTAGTGGCACTTACAATGTTAAAACTGTTTGCCATTTATTTTTGCTGCAGAGGATTTTTTTATTAAATTTTGTTCTCTTGGACCAGGAAGACTATGGATATGTAAGGAATGTTCTCATCCTATTAGTTTTTCACTCAACATTTGACAAGTGACAGATGCTTTATGCCAGTGGTCGGCAACGAGGGACCCACGAACCAATTTGCAATTATATCTGGCCCACCAGATGACAATGAAAAGTAACTGATAATTATGTATGTCACAATATTCACGGTTCATGGAATTAAAAGTGCCTCAATATTGTGGTCTTGAGTTGATTATTTATGGTTACTTGGCTTTTTATATTTGTGTTGCCTTTATTAGGAGTGTTCCTATGTTTCTAATTTAACGTGAATTTTCAGAGTAAAGGAGTAGGCAGTACCACGTTTCTGATGTTATAAATGAAAAATATGTGACACAGTGTAAATTAGTGAACATATCATTTCGCAATGCACAGTTGGGTTATAATGTGAGCATAGCATGATTATTGCTGCAGCGATAATAGACTTTTAGATTTATTATGAATGTAAACATTGATGGATGGGGAATAAGTGCGTAACCTATATTTGAAGGTGTCTTTTTTTTTTACAGAAACCTGTGGGAAAATGCACAGACAATGTACCGTGACGCTTCCTGCAATATCGTGTTTCCACGATATCGCAATCATTACCTTACTGTAATAAAACCAAAGCATGAGCTTCCAATATTGCTACACGCCTACTGATAATAAAAATAATAATAATAATACATTTCATTTATAAGCGCCTTTCAAGACACTCAAGGACACTTTACAACCAAAACAAGAACAATAAAACCACAGATAAAATTATAAATAATACAAGGAGAGATGAATACGATTTTTTAGTCGGAAAAAACTGTTTGCTTAATGAAAATGTAATTTCGGCCAGTGATAAAATTGGTGTGAACAAATTTGGCCAAGGGCCAAACTTATTTGCTGACCCCAAATTTATGCCTTGGTGGAGACAACTGCGATTGTTGACTCACTATACCTGCTGCTGACTTGACTTTGCGTAGCTTTTTGGGAGTGACACTCCACACTCTGACTGAGGAGTCGGCGAAGCCTCCTGCAATTAAACTGGAGTCATCTGTGAAGTCCACAGCAGTTAAGCCCTGCAGGAAAATGTTTTTAAGAAATCAGGATACAAACAATTGAGTTTACAGTCACCCCACCTGAACCCCAATTGAAAAGTGAGTAGTAGGGGTTCAGACCTGGTATGCATTAAGAAAAGAGTAGAAGCAAATAGAAGGGAGATTATCTCGTCCCAGTCGGATCCTCTTGGTGGCCTCTTTCATGTACATGATCTTGTCCAGTTTGTCCGAGTCCTTCAGTTCTGGAAGAGGTATCCTGAGAAACAGAGCACATTTTTCAGGAAGTTTATGAAGCCTGCATGAAGGTCCAAAATTGGTTCAATAAAGCAAATGTGTCTATGCTTGAAAGTACAGATAAATCTAAATCTATACCTTGTTTGTGACGGTGCATTGGGATCCTGCTTCTTGCTCTTGGAGCCCGTGCTGTCCTTTTTTGGTTTCTTCTTCTTGGGTTTACCCTCCTCGTTCTCTGCTTCCTCGTCCTCATCATCAAGTGGCAGTTCAATTTCCGGTTCCTTAAGCAAGCCGTAATAAACCTAGGGGGAGGTTGACCAAAGAGGCAGTTGTGAGCTGGTAGTCTGTTTCAACAGCTCTGCTAATTTTGTCATTACTTTGTACCTCTCCACCATGTTTTGTCATTTTATGTTCATTGTGCATCATGTAAATCCATTGTGGACAATTTTCAGCATTATTGGCCATAACAGTCTTTGGCGGAGTGTATCAGTTCGTTACTTGTCGTATGCGCTTTCACCAACAACGTGTTTACTAAAGCTCAGTTTTTACTGAGCGTGGAGAAAAAATGCAACTTGTCTCCGATGTTATAAACCGCAAGGAGCTACATCTGCATGTAGCTTCGCCAAAGGCCCGAAACCTCCCATCAACCCCAGGTGATCCCCCTCAACACGGA